TAACCAATATACAAGTCCATTGGCAGCAGATGTTATTAATGATGCCAATACATATTTTCTTATTAATCTTCCATACTAGGCTTGTGTCTATCTGCAAATGATTATCATTCATTTTCCTGACAAATCTATCAAGATCATTTATTACTGTTCAGCAAAGGATCTTCTTTTAAACAGAGATTAATAACGCTGCATTTTATCTGGCTGGCTGAGCCAAAGGAAATGAAATTAACAATGAGCCCTACAAACATGTCATCACTTTAATTTACCGGAAAATACTTAAAAATGTTATTTAAAAGAATATACGCTGCGGTGGGCACAGCTTATTACAAAGGAAAGAAGTGAAACCGCATGCATTTTAGCAGGGTGGAGAGTAAGTTAGCAAACAGGGCACTGTGTTTCCTCTGGCTCCTTGCACTTGCTTTCTGAGACAAGGAGAAGCAGCTCCTACAGCCTCCGTTGGGCAGACGGGCACCTGCCTAGGTGAATCGCAGCTGATTGTCACTGTTCCTGGGTTAAAGCAGACCCTTTAAAACATGGGATCACAAGGATCTGCATGCAGAGAAACAGGGCTTTATAACCATGGAAAGGCAAAAGAAGGGATAAAGCCAAAAGGAAATGATAAAAGACAAAATACAGAGGGAAATGTCACTGGGGTAAAGCTCATGGAAAGGAGGGCATGTAGGCTATAAAGGCCCAGGATCTGCTGCACTTTTGGTCCTAAGGAAGAAAACAAACAAACTCAGTAAATGTACACTGTTTAGATTCCTTTCTTCCGCATATTATCTTCCCTTCCTTTCCCTTCTCTTCCCTTCCCAAGTAAAATAACAATAAATATACACACAAAAACATATCAGAAACCCCCTCCTACTTTTACTGCCAGTAGTAATGCAAAACCTTAAAACCAGCTTTGCCTTTGCATTGCTTTGTTCATACTCATGAACTTACATTTTGAGACCCATATTTGTGTGGGTACCCATCACTGTGCCTTCACAGGACTTTCCCCACATGCCTGGCTCTGGGCTGTGACATCTCCAGCAATGGGAATCCCACCACTCCCCTCCACAGCCTTGTGCCTGGGGGGGGCTTCCCCCCATCCCAGATAATGCAGCTCACTTCTCCATTTCTCAGTGCACAGTGCTTCCAACACCAGCACATCACACTCCTCTTCCTTGCCAGGGGGGGAAAGGAGAAGGTTGCTTGAAACAATTTTGCCTGACATAGTCAAGAAGCATCTCTCCTACAAGTACTAAGGTCAACTTCTTACCTGCGGTGGATTCATCTTATCTTACCCGGATGCTAGGTTGGGAGCAGCGTTTTAAGCCCCAGGCTAAAGACAATAACCCTGGTAACCTCAAACTGTAGCAGTTTCAAAATGCTGACATATCGGCAAGAGGTTTCCAGGTGTGCGTTTCTGTATCTATCTCTGCAGAGCAGCAAAAGCACGCTCCCTGAACTGGTGGGTATTTAGCTGTACATTGTATTGCTACCTAAGTCTTCTTTCTAATTAAAAAGTCATCAATGTAGCATAGGTCTTGAAAAGATTATGACAAATAAGAAAAGCCTGAATATACCCCAAAGCAGGGTTTGGCTTCTCCTCAGATTAAAAGGTAATGAGTTAATAAGTGAAGCAAGCTGCCCATCTATTTAAGCTAGAGCCGTATCTCCAGTTACCTCGGGGACACTCTGTGGTTCGGTAAGTGGCAAGAGCCCAGCTGCACATGTCCAGGCCGTATGCACTGAAGTAGGACCAGACTCAGAGCTTCTGAAAGGTCTAATCTTCTACTTTGACCTAGCATTTACTGGTAGAACTTGTGATCTTTGACTGAGCAATAACCACAGTGCATATGGCAGAATGTCCCTGCCTATTTCCTTACCAAACTGACATATTTCTTTTAGTGTAATTATCAATTTTGGCAGAAAGACCGCAAGCTAAGAAACCAGTTTCTATTTAAGGTGCTCTAAAGAGTCAATACTCATTATGTATACACACACACACATATATATGTATATATATATATATAAAGCATATGCTCCTTACTACTAGTGTGACTGCATCTTGCTCTGGCTTTCAACTGCTGGATTTGATCAAGCCTTTTCTGCTACATTAAGCAGTTGTCTGTTATGAACTTACACCACATACATAAAAATCACAGACAGTGCATGCAGAGAAACAGGACTTTATAACCTTGGGAAGACAGAAAAGAGACAAGGCCAAAAGGAAATGGCAAAGGACAAAATACAGTGGATGGTGGTGAAAACCACATTCAAGGCCCTCATCTCATGGCCCTGTATATACATTTACTGGGGTACGTTTACTTTCCCCATTTCAGACTAGAAAAATGCTCAAGGAGGAGTCCTTGTTGGTGCTGCCCATCGTTGCCCCAGGTTCCACCACACATGATGCTGCTTCTTCCCACGTGTACTGTGACCCTCAGAGTCGTGCATTTTCTCCACCTTTCTGTAATCAAATGAGTCTTGAAACTCCTACAGGAGAGGTGGTGAACGCTTCTGCCCCAGAACAGCCCCTCAGCCTAAGTACTGGGTACTCTTCAAAGTCTGCTATGAAGTCCTTCGAGGGAAGCAGGGAAGTCTGTGGCCATCCTTTGGCTCTTTAATTCCTGACTTTAGATCCCATTTAATACCTGAAGCCATCTTCATGCCTTCCCTCCCTTTGTCTCAAACACCTCTGTGAATCAACCTTCACCACAGTACACAGGGGGATGTTATTTAAGCATGTGCCATCTGGTCAAAGGCTGGCATCAAGGTATCGCTGTGCCATTCAAACACAGCCCAAGATTTCATAAGCAAAAACTGAAATACCATGCAGTGCAGTATTACAGATAAGCTGTCCAAGCAAGACCAGATGGCACCACCATGCCAAGGACAACAGACAGATATTAAGTTGTCAGAGTACAAACCAAAGTCAGCCTGAGCTGCTGAGCTCATGCCATCTCTGTGCCTGGTTCCCAGGATCGACAAAGAAGCTGCCCCCTAGGACACTGCAGAAATAGACTCCTGCAAAGGGCACTTGAGCCACTCTCTGTGAGCCACAGGATGTCCCCTGAGGAGGTCAGTGCCATGCAAGGGGATGTGTGAACGGTACATGTGTTAAACAGTACACACATGTGTACAAAACATAAGACCAACTGCACGTGCAACACTCAGCTACTGCTCCATGGTGTGGTTTCTCTACTAGAGTACTATCAGGTTGGGTTGATGGCACTCCTGATTCAGTATTGGGCTGGAGATCATTGAGGACAATTCCTCTGCCTGCTTTCTGGTTTATACTGGTTTATTACTGTGTGTGTGCATGTGTGAGGGGGAAGGACCATGGCAACCATTTTAAGAAACCCCCGATTTTTGCTGCATTCGGTCAAAACAGGAAAGTTGTCCAAAACATTCAGCTGTGACTCGCTGCTGTAGCTTCCACAACGCAACATCCAATTTAATATGTGAGCCTCATAACCAACACATCCAGTGCAATAGTTCACATCAGGTTGAAGAAAAGAAATCCTGCTGGAAGCACAGGCAAGGAGCAGTGTCAATTTTTCATTAACCTACAGCCACTGTCTCTGTAGACTTATAGCTATAAGTAAGATTACTGTTATAATTTCTTCTGGTCCCCAAGGGGAGGGAAAAAAAAAACTTCCCAAAACTTTTAAGGTCATTAACCCCCCTCCTCCTCCCTTTAAATTGGAGGTAGTTTCAGTTTACGTTCATATTTCAAAATCAAATCTCAGCTTCAGCTTCACATCAAAGCAGAAATGTCACTTGCTTTTTTCTACATCTTCCATGAAAGAAGTTCCAGCTTATACATGAGCTGAATGCCAAGTAAATAGATTTTCCTGGGGAACAAAGGCAGCTTTTTTGTTTGTTTTAAACATATGTAAATAGAGTCCCAGGAGCTGAGCTGCCTGTCACTTCAACCAGGTTTACACTCATGTCACTCCATCTGCTTATTTCTGACCGACCTTAGGTCAGCACTGCAGAAGTTCCCCTCCCTTCTCCTCCACACACTTGGTATCAAGGAGCCACTCCAGCCCTTTCCCTCCACTCTCATACCTCAGCAAAGGGGAAACAGCTTCGTATGTATCTCTTTTTCTTTGCTAGTTTCTTCTTTCCTTTTTCAGCTCTAGTTACAGAATCACAATAATGCTCTGGTCCTCTGTCACAGTCACCAACATGGTTCTGAAAAGCTTTCGACAGATCAGATCAGTATCTGACAATATATGGCTACCATCAGTAAGGCATCAGTGCTGTGTTCCTACACACTAGTGTATTAAAGACTGATGTACCTACTGGTTCATGGTAGGGAGAGGCACGGAAGAAACAGGAATGGATTGGTAAGAAAAATGGCACGAGGGCACCATCAGTCTTGAGTTTTCTCTTTCTAGTATCAGGCATTTCAACAGTGGAGAGTTATTTTCCACAGAGCAAGAAGACAACAGACAGGAGCACAGTCCCCTCACAACCTCATCTTCCAGTACTTGCTTTTCTTTGCAAATCAGTGCAAAATTAAGAGCACATAATGCTTGTCGTTTCCAAATGGCTTGGGTTATATCTCAATCTTCAGCACTTGTTTGGGGTGTAATACCAGGTAGCACTGAGGAATGCATCATTTCACAGGCTCCGCATAAGCCACAATTAAGGAAAATCCTCAAGTACATGAGAAACCTCAGTTTTGATTGGTCAAGTCACCATAACTTATTGATAATTCAAATCACTCCAGTATTATTCAGTGTTTTCTTCTCTCTGCTTTTTTCATCTCTTGACAAGTTTACAAAGAAAAGAATGGAGCAGAGCTTAGCTGCATTACATCCAATATGCTGCCTACACAAACGCCAGAGAAGCTAAATGAACCTCAGAACATATGGCACTCTGCTGACAGGGCTCAGAAACTGGTTCTGCATGAGCAACAGGGAACATCTTGAAACACACAAGACATATGTGTTTTAGGAAGAAGATTGAAGTGTTTCATAATAAAACAGGACAAAGTGAAATACAAGTGCTGTATAAAATTTTAATTAAAAACTGGTTTTACCCCTCAACATGAATATACAATATGTTCCCCAGATGGATTTCATATTTAAGTATTATCCAAACCAAAAACGTAAATGAGACAAATAAAGCCTTCAAAAATGGCACAGAGGCTAAAATGTATGTAAACACTAGATGACTGTGGTGAAAACAAGGCAGGCAGGGAAAGCAACCTCTTAGCAAATGTTTACTACTGGAGTACTGAATGAACCAGTTCATACGACTATAGTAACAACACAATTAGCTAACCGCTCAAAAATTCAAGTCAGTGTAACAATACAAATATAAGCATTAGAATTCACCCCCACTCAGCAATGTAAATAGTGCTTTTGTTACTTCAAAGTCTCACAGGTTATTTTACACACTGATTATTCACGGTATACAAATGCATAATTCGCGGCATGCCACGAGAAGCCACTCTCAAGCCACTCTCCAAGCCTTCAGCCTCCCACCCCACCTCTGTGTGAAGCTCTGTCAATGGCATCAGCTCTGCAGGGTTACATAAATGCCTGACCACAGGACAGGGTTTTTGTGCTGTATTCTCAGGATCGGTCAATTCTTATGAACCAAGAGGGATGTTGTTGTGTAACAGCAAACTCCTTTCCCTGAAGGGCTGAGAAGAAGGCTCAGATCACCACTTCTCAGACTGCTAGGTTGGAAGCAATCACCCAGAGCTGAATGGAAATACACATGAAGAAAGAGCACAATCTCCAAACTGATCAAGCAAAGAAAAAGATTACAGTTCCTTTATGTTGTCATCCTGACAAATTATCACTGCACTTCACAGAATTTCTCAAGACAAACAGGGAACAAACTGCAAGTCTTTGGCAAGCCAACACTGGTAACAAAAAGAGCTACAGCTTCATCTTTTAAGGGCTTTGGTTGATGACATTTTGAATTCCATGGAGAAAGCGGTAGAAACCAATGCACAAGTGGGGCTTGTGCTTAGTAGTTCACTAAGTAATAGAAATACTACCTGTTCTTGGTCACTTCCCACCACACTGGTTTATTCATTGAAACCGAAGGGAATTGGGCAAAGACTGGTTCTCTGCTGCTGCCAGAGACCCTCACCTATACCAGACATCATTTGTCAGTGAGGTAGCTTGTCAAGATCATCCACAGAAATATTCCAGCTTCAATTACTTTCACCAGAATCAAGCAGCTAAGTTTCATTGATTTGAAAGTTCCCCCAAATTCCTTTACTACTAACCAAATCTCTTGAGATACTCTCAGCATCCTGATAATGATCACTCCATAACCACTGAAGAAATGAACATCATGGTAGGTCTTCCCATGACCCAGAGATTCTACATTACAAGATTTATACAGTTATGTGACCACTGCTGAAAGGTGAAGAATTTTGTTGCATAGTTCAGCATTTCAGCAAAGACTTTGAAGCTTGAATATCAGGAAGAGTAGATTTAATAAGCTATTCTGTGCACATGGTCTGAAAAGGCAGATTCCTTCCAACTTACTTTCTCTGACAACCCCATGGCACACCACAACAACCTTTTCCACTGTCAAGTTGCACACATCATTGCACCCCTTGCTCCTGGGGAGAAGATGAGAACAAATGATGTGATAGATGTTAATAGCGCTGATTAGTACACACAGCAGACAGCACTGAGACATCAGGATGACAAAAATGATTTGTATTAGAAAAGAAAAGATATCATGAGAACAATCAGTCTGAGTATGATGAACCCAACTTATGCAGGAGACAGAAGCTGAGCGGGATACCAACTGCAAAAATTAGTGCCTAAAAGCACACGTAGTAAAGTACTTCATTATCTTTTTCAGCCGTCTCTTAGACTTAATAGATTTCTATCTTGATAAGATTAACACTTGCTTAATAACTGTCTAATTAAAACATAATAAAACTGGGAAAATTAAAATAAAGCCTCTTTAATAACCTGGAGATGAGATGGGACTTTTCAGCCAGGCTTCCACAAAATAATTTCTGCAACAGTCACCTCAGGATCCCAAAGCACTTCACAGTCATTTAATTAAACTTCAACAGAGCACAAACTCCCCATTTTACAGCTGAGGTAACAATGAGAGAGAGTTTGGAAGACTCTTTAATACTGAGCAGAGCTAAATGTTCTGTTACTTTACCAAAAATATAGATTCCCAACAACTCTAGGTAGATTTCTTTCTCCCCTCACCATTTTGGCAGCCTCTAAAGTAATAGAAAAATACAAGCATGTGGTGCACAATCTAAAGAACAGCTCTCAGCATCTTCCAAGCTGCTCAGATTTGGAGTATAAACACTGCTGCCCATCTACAGAATCACAGAATCAACTAGATTGGAAAAGACCTTTAAGATCCGTCACTTCAGGACTGCCGAGATGCTCCTATGTGTCCCCATTACTCATCTTCTCCTGTGCCTAGTGGACCAATTTAAGTTTCTCCTAGTGGAAAACTTAGATAAGGCAAGTCATTAGAGTCTGACATTTTTGTCTTTAATCCACAATAGGTCAATGACCAAGTTATTTCCAAAGCAACTACCACTCACCACCAAAGGATTTGCATTTCTACCGAACACAAGTAAATAGCTTGTGTAAAGCCACCCCAATATCCTAAACTGTAACAAGTTATTTGTAGGAATGAGGGGAGGGACTAAGTAGGAAGCAGACTGACTTAATTAAAATGAAAGTGATTAAAATACTGCACTGAGTGCATACTGCAAGCAACACTGGATGCTGAATAGCATTTGGTGAGAATACTCATGGGTTATAATAACTTGGGGAGGGCAAGAGAAAGAGACAGACTCTACAGAAAAACACTAATTCCTTCTTAATCTAGCCCATTATTTCTAGATTTGAGTAGGCAGCTTTCCTTTAGGAGGTAAAATGACGGGGGTGGAATTATGCCATCCCACTGTCACTAACAGACCACTTTGTGGATGGCAAAAGATAAGGAATGAGCATAGAAAAGTGCTATTTAAAGATCCACTCAGGAACCTGGAAATTTGCATTTGATAGAAGGGATTTAAATTGTATTAGAAGGCAAGGTGCACTAAACAATTACAGTTTATTACTACGTTGGTTCGCTGCCTGAACCTATACTTATCACATACTGCAGCAGCAAAGGAGCAGCAGTGCTCTGTGCACTTGAGCTGCACGCATATTAATAAGAGGGTTAGCTGAGCAAACAGGGAAGGGGCCAAATGCTTCTGAAAACAAAGTGGCTTGCAGATTTTATGGACAGATCGGAGTAATTTGGGTTTTAAGTCACATTTCAGAGAAAAGTTTTCCATTAACCAAACCAGATTTCCAGCACAGTGCTTGGAAAAGAACACTCTCTGCTGTATCACAGCATACAAGCTGTAGAATGACTCTGACCCAAGAGAGAAGCACATATCCTGCAGCAGCTGATTCAGAAAGACATTATACACACCATCTCCCCTCGCAGCTGGAGAAGGGCCAAAGACACTCACAGTCTATCTGCTTCATTTGTTGTTATGCTGCATACGAATGCTACACTGAGAATATTCACGCTGGTCAACAACTTCTTTTTTAATTCCCATCTAGTTTTCAACTTTGATGAAAAATTTTTCATCTTTGCTGAAAAACTGAAGGTTGCCATATTACCGTATGTTTCCTTTCTTTAGCTAGGGGAATCAAACAGGCATACCCTAGCCATTCCTCTGGAGCTCTCAAAAACACTACACTGTTTTTTCACCATGGCCTCCAACTTCCTTCATCTCCTCTTTTTGTCTTGAATACATGGCAACTTGTGTCCTGACTCATCCATTTAAAAAAACCCAAAGCCTCAGCAGTCAGGCCTTCTAATGCATAGAACAAGGACTAAAATCTGCTGGATTGCAAGGAATGGAAAAGTCATTCTGTCATAGAAGCAGATTATGCCAAAGGCGAGCAGCCAATCTTCAGAAGACTGGAGCTTCTACTAAGCTATGACACTGGGGAGGGAAAACACAGAGAATATTGAATGAAAACTGGGCTACCATAAGAAGAACAATAAATCCTATGGCTCAAACTTAGGTAACTGCAACAACCTTCATATTTCAGTAGATTCATTTAAGCCAAAAGCTTGGAAAGTATCTCTTAGAATGTGCCCTGCCTATTTAGGATCCATTTGAATATACCTACTCTCCTGAGCAGCAAGGAGAAAGAAACTGTTCCTTTATGGACAAACATGGGGCCACAGGAACAGGCTGATGAATCAATACCAGGTACTGGTAGCACAATACTCCATGGCCACCATGCCTTCAGTGGCACAGCTTGAGTATGTTTTACTTTTCACTTCTGCAAAAAAAGTGCACTACTACTTCATAGAGTGACTCAACACTTATCCATAGCATAGGACTGTGCAACTAATGCCCTTTGAAAGCACTAATGTGCTAAACTGCATCAGGGACAGGAAGTTATCAGTGCTAATCCACTTCAACTGGTTTAACAGTTCCAAAGAATAGAAATGTCTATATGCAAGACACTTCCTCTGAGAGTCCCCATTCCTGAAACAGAAGCACAAAGCCTTTCAACATGCTTTCCCACTAGCATAATTGCTCACCAACTGCTTTCTCAATTCAATTACGTTGTCTCAGCACTAAAGGATGGAAGGCAGAGTAGACCAACTTCTTGTTTATCTAGGCATGCTGGCAGGTTACAGTCATATGTTCTGCCATCTGTGCTGCTAGCTTTATCCTTTATCCAATCATAACAGGTAAAATGGCATTGGTGTAACTGAATCTGTTCTTTCAGACAGAGAAGGAGCCAGAACAGGCATTTGTTTTTTCCCCCCATTCTGAAAGGAAGCAGGAGATGGACACTCTTGCCCTTTTAAAACATTCTGCTTTTCAATACATGGGCAATTTGCCCTGGTCTGCTAATGTGGGATCTGTTCAATGCGAGGCTGTAAAGGTTCCATCTCTGGGGAAAGCATCGAACTGCTGATGAACATTTGGTGGCCTTTAGCAAAAGCGATGCTATTTCTGCCAACAGGATCCCAGCAGACTGGGAAGGACAGGCTCCAGATTAGGTGGGACTGTGATGCAGGAACTTCAGAAGGTCTGCACAGAGTATATGAGGAGTTTGCTGACTAGTTGCAGTCTTCCCCCCTCCACACTCTTTTGTTATTCATATTGGTTAAAATTACAAGTATATTGGCAAATACTGTGGCTGCATTCAAGAGAAGCTGGAAGCTCTCAAATGCACAAGGTGTGTGAAGATGACCTTTCTTCAGATACAAAGGCTGCTGGGCTGTGTGAGTTTCTTTTAAAATTTGACAGTATTAGGAAATTTGTGACTAAAGGTGCTTGAGATCACTTTGAAAACAGGTCTACAGGTCAGTATCAGAGTTCTCAAAACTAAATAATCCAAAGCCAATATTCTAGAAAACAATTCCCTTTGTCCCACATGGGATGCTTTTAAGACAACGCTCACATTCACCTTCCTTTTTAGACCCCCTCTCTGAACACTACGATATCCTGCTTTGTCAGCCAAGCCTGTTTATGTCACTAAATAGCTTTAATTATTAAGTAAGAATTGACTGCAGCAAAAACCTGAGTTAATATCAGACAGCAAGGGCCAGCAGACATATTACTCTTCAAATGTTTTCAAATGAGCCTTCTTTTCATAGTCCCATAGGAGTAACACCATCTTGCTTAACTGTGGATGGGCTTAGTTGCTGTTGTTTTTGTCTGATTTGTTGTTTGGAGGGGGAGGAAGAGAAGGAAGAGCAAGGTGAGGAGCAGAGTTAATAGTTTCCTTTGGCAACCCAGACCAAAACCCCACTTCTTGAAAACCCTGCTCAACCGTAATTACACCTTAAAAATAGAGTACAAATATTTGTTACATAAAAATAGATCTCATAACAAATAAGAACACTACATGCTGTGCATTTCCAGGTGAATTGTTATTAGGAGTGTGGGTTTTTGTCTGAAGCAGTGCCAGCAGCTTTTTGGTACATGTTTCTGTATATTTTCTCAAGACTCTCTTCAAAGATGGCTCTGTGAGGCTTCCCTTTGTATACAGATGCACGATTAGACCAATATTCACCATTATCCAAATGAACAGTAGTGTTCTGCAGCACTGGTGAACTGTCAAAAGAAAGGAGAGAAGAAATAATGAACAAATCAAGACAAGGAATAGGAATCAGAAGCACAAAATCATCAGAAATCACAATGTAGAGCTGCTAAACACAGATTACCTTTCACAAATTGAAATGAAAACTGCACTGCAGCTACTTCTAAGAAATGGGAGCCTCATGTTATTCATACACACAAATTCTCCCCCACTTATCTGAGTGCACTTGATAATACCTCCCAAATAGAAAGCAAATTAATTTTCAAAGAGCATGCAGTAATCTTGCTGTATATTGATAGGCAGCGTGCTAGGTACTAAGCCTATGCAAGAGCAACACAGTAGGATTTTTGTGTCCTTTCAAGGTTAAAATGTAACCACAAGCAGCTATTTCAATATGAAGACAATCTATCAGAGGTATACTAAATTACTGTGGTTGCAGCTGCAAAGTGCTCTATCGGAAGCATCTTGGATTAAGTATTCTCCCAAATACATTATGATATAGTGGCAATCGAATGTTCCTTCCCCACCCCATCTTCTGTGTCACTGTTTTAATATTAAACACAAATAACAGCCTCATATTTCAGCTGCTTTGAGAAATTATTTCCTAGATCTACAAAGTGAAATTTATCTCTGAAAATCATTACAAAACACTGACAGAGCTGAAGCATGTATATTGAAACTTCATGACTATTTAACTTCTCTTAAAACTTTCAAAACAAAGGCTTGTGTCATGTAATGAAACGAGCATTTTCCTGTAATAAAGCATGAAACAAGTAGTTAAAAAAAACATAAGCAGAAAATGGCTACTGAGGTGGTATTTTTCACATTTGCCCAAAGGTTCAGACACTTAAGACATGTAAAAAGTAGGACAGAGTTATCTTCAGCCTTACGTGAATGTTCTCAGTCTGTGAAATGAAACCAGAAATATGAAGCTTACAGTGTCCATCTTTAAGAAATGGATTACATATTGCAGGGAAGCTTTACATTTTCTTACACACATGTAACTTATTAATCTACTACGGTCAAAACAGTAATTAAAACATTGTCCTCAAGTGACATGGTGACACGGACAGTGAGACTGAGTGCGCCCTCAGCAAGTTTGCTGATGACACCAAGCTGTGTGGTTCAGTTGATACGCTGGAGGGAAGGAATGCCATCCAGAGGGACCTTGACACGCTTGTGAGGTGGGCTGATGCCAACCTCATGAGGTTTAACCATGCCAAGTGCAAGGTCCTACACCTGGGTCGGAGCAATCCCAGGCACAGCTACAGGTTGGGCAGAGAAGAGATTCAGAGCAGCCCTGTGGAGAAGGACTTGGGGGTGTTGGTTGATGAGAAAATGAACATTGAGCCGACTTCAGTGTGCGCTGCAGGCCAGAAAGCCAACCGTATCCTGGGCTGCATCAAAAGGAGCGTGACCAGCAGGTCGAAGGAGGTGATCCTGCCCCTCTACTCTGCTCTCGTGAGACCTCACCTGGAGTATTGTGTGCAGTTCTGGTGTCCTCAACATAAAAAGGACATGGAACTGTTGGAACAAGTCCAGAGGAGGCCACGAGGGTGATCAGGGGACTGGAGCACCTCCCATATGAAGACAGGCTGAGAAAGTTGGGGCTGTTCAGCCTGGAGAAGAGAAGGCTGCGTGGAGACCTCATAGCAAGGGGGTCTATAAAGATGCTGGGGAGGGACTCTTCATTAGGGACTATAGTGATAGGACAAGGGGTAACGGGTTAAAACTTAAACAGGGGAAGTTTAGATTATATATAAGGAAGAAGTTCTTTGCTGTAAGGGTGGTGAGGCACTGGAACGGGTCATCCAGAGAAGTGGTAAATGCGCCATCCCTGGCAGTGTTCAAGGCCAGGTTGGACAGAGCCCTGGGTGACATGGTTTAGTGTGAGGTGTCCCTGCCCATGGCAGGGGGGTTGGAACTAGATGATCTTAAGGTCCTTTCCAACCCTAACCATTCTATGATTCTATGATTCTAAGTTAACATCAGTAAACACCTGTGACACAACTGAAAGAAACCTTTTGTCAAAGGACTCACAAATATACTTCTATCTAGCTGCATCAAAACACAAAGTTTTCACTTTAAGAAAGGAAAATGGTGAGGGAAGAAGAGGAAGATGTAGGATCAGTTTTCTAAATTCCCATTTCTAAGTTTCCACTGTCCCATGAAAATAAAAGAAGGAATAGCTTTTCCTTTTAGATTTCTATCATTCAAATATTAGGGTGATGCCAACCTATACCATGTAAAACAACAAGATCTCTATTTGGCTCCAATATCATAAAGGAAGGCAGGCCTCTTCCACACTTTTTCAAAAGAGCTCCAACATTTAAAGTCAGTCAACAGCATGAAGCAAACTTAAACCTGTTCATCATCCCGGAGAGGGTGAACTCTACTCACAGTCTGGACACAAAGAACCGACCTACTAAACAGCAAAACTGATAGAAAAGTTATACAGGCCTGTATTAAATGTAGACAAGTCAATACCCACGGGACCCACCAACAACTGAAGTTTCACCTCCTCTTTTCTTCAGTTAGTGTTACCTCACTTGTGATGAAGCATTCTCAGGCCAACAAATAAGCACAGTGCTAGAAGTGGCACTTGTAACTATACAAGAAATAACTCTGACACTCTTTTCCCCGGTATTCATTTCCTGAAGGCAGCCTTGTGCTTGACTTTGACTAAAAGCTTGATCTACATGTAGAGACACTCAAAATCCAACTACTTTAACTGCAGTAAAGGAAAGACTCAAAAACCCAACAGTAACTTTCACAGATTCCTTATTCTGGTACTGACAAAGACTTAGAAAAAACCCATAAGCTTCAGTTTACCTTCCTTTTTTGGAGGGTGGGAGTGCAAGCATTTCCACTAGCCAGACCTTGCACATGAGATACTTAGCACTGGTGTGCAAAAGGATACAGCCAAGCTAGAGAAGAGTCCCTCTGTTGCCTCAACTGGAAACCAGCTGACAACCCAAGCTAAGCAATCTGGGAATTACACTCACAAATTGTATTAACAGCAAGACTTCTTCATGCAACTCCCTGCTCTGAAATACCTGTCATAGGGTTTTGTTCCCTCATACATATCCTTTAAGAGTCACAGTTCTTTTCTGAGTGAATCATGTACTAAATATTTCACAAAACATGGACCTTTTCCTTACTCCCAGTGGTTTTCAATCATCTATCTACTTTACTGCCAACATTTGGTCTACAGTACTGTGTCCTTCTATGAACTTTGTCTCTGTCCTTGTATCCTGTTTATGAGCACTGTGGCAAACACTCAGCAGCCACTTTCCTCGAGTCCTTTCATGTCTCGCCCTTAGTGCTGCTGGCCTCTAAACCCAAGGAGCAGTCTTTTCCCAATCTGAGTGCCACATTTCATATCTCATCACTTCAAGATTCTGCAGTATTAAGGTTTGGGTTTTCTTTTTTCATGGTCTGCAGTTTCAGCATCAACCACAAAATCCCAAAGCTGCCCCAAAACAAAAACTTGCACTTTCTTTCTCACAAACACATCCTACAAAATGTAATTGCAGCAGCTGTCAGGGCCAAGGTTAAGGGAGCAGAAAGGCTACACACAAATTAAAGGAGTGAGCACAGGAATACCAACAACTTCAACGGCAACTTTGCATACATGTGGAAATCTGACTAACTAGATCCCTTGCACAGAGGTGACTACAATTTATAGGAATTGAAAAAAAAGAAGCCAAGAAATCATAAATGAACATCTTAGATCTAACTGATTACAAGTTGAAGTTTGCTACAATACCCCTATTGACTTACTTACCCTCTTTCAAGTACGATTCAGGAAGCCTTTGTTACAAAATATTGCATCACACTTAATTATCAAAATAAACCCTGTTTATTCATATGTCAGGACCTCTCAAATTTAGCACCACAGTTCCAGGACTTCTCTCTTTATATAAAGAAAATCAGAAAATCCAAACTCCAAACAATCCAAATCCATACAATCCAAAAAATGTTTTACATTACTTGGTATTTTTCCTTCAACAAGTACCCAAAACGTTGTACAAAATACTGTGTGCATACATAGAGAACAGCAATATTGATAACTGCTACTAAAGACGTTGTCAAAGTCAATTCAACTGGTGCTTTTAAGTAAAATATTCAAGCAAAACCCTAGTCATAAATGTGAGGAGTACACAGAATAATTAACCTACATAAACCAGGCTTTCAAGATCTCAGGTTTTCAAGATGTCTTCTGAAATATGGCAAGCTGAATCACACAACCATAGTATATATATTTGCTGTATATTTTGAAGCTGCTTCTCTTTTCCAAATGTGTTTTGGAAAAAAAAGAAGAAAACAACCAAACAGCCCGAAGCCATATCACTAAATAAACTCCAATTTATTTTTGTACTCCCATAGGTTTAAGAAAAAATAACTAATTAGTTATTTTTAAAGTGACATTTGCTCTCTGGCTGATGAAATCTAAAACATGCTGCCCAAGGATCATTTTTATGACCAAGTCCAGTTCCAAAATGAGTGTTTTATGAAGACTATACTGACACACTGCCAAACAGCATGAAAGGCATAATTATAGTTAACTGCATTCTGCTTTTGGTAGGAGTAACTCCTACGGAAGCTTTTCTCCAGTGCAATATATTACACAGCTCAAAATAGGAAGAGAATTTTTTAGCTAAATTTAAAAGGCAATGTCAGGATTATGACTGTTCTGTCTTGGTCAGAGAAAAACTCCATACCCGTTCTGTTGTTGCCTCATGGATAAGGGTGCTTTAAGTGCAGATTCTCTTGTCTTAGTCAAGCCTCCTTTAGATGAGTTACTCTCATCCTGAAAAAAAAAAAGGAAGAAATCAAATTCTCATTACCTTGGTTTCTGATTACAATGATCTCATTTCAAAAATTCTTTCCATTTAGTAGAAGACTATTAAAGTGCTTACATTTCTTGGGGGAGAAAGGGACAAAGTGTAATGAGCCAAATGCCATTTATGAACACTTTTAATTAAGTTCAGTACAATTCAGCTAATAATTTTAAGGTAATAAACTGAAAAGAATTTTTAGACAATATAGATCTAGAGAACTATGCAGACAGCACAACCTTCAGTAATCCCCATCAAACACATGGGTAAAATGTTATGAAACTGCTCACTGCCTTACTTTTGTTTCTTGCAGAAAAGGGGGGGAAGAAACCTAAAACTTATTATTTATTAGCTTTTCTAATGAGCCGTTGTTATCCATTCAATGCATTTTACAGACAGAAGCATTCCACACATCTGAATACTTCGATTCCATATACAAGGTTGAGAACACACTTAGCCAATTAAAAAAAATATCTATGATACACTTAATGACCCTTCAGTGGTATTCTTAGTAGTCACTAGAAAGCAGTCTGATCTTCTAAATGCTACCTAGACATTAATTAAGCCATATTTGCCTTCTTACGTAAGTAAGGAAGACAACATTTCATGTGAAGGGAGCCAGTTGCTCACCTGAGGCAGGATGGTAGAAATTCCACCACACAAACACGTTCACTCTACTCTGAAGAGCACTGCTTAGGAGGTGATACTAAGTGTGGCTTTCAGAAGAAACCAGTTGTTGTAAGGATTAATAAACAAAATCATCTTTCATGCTATAGAAGAAATAACTGGAAACAAAGACTCTGCAGTAAAAATCATCACACAAAACTGAGAGAAAAGAGAATGAATATAGTGGAAGACGGCAGTAAGAAGCAGAGCAAACTGAATGGCAGGTGTATGGATGAGGAAAAACCTAACACAATTTATTGTGGTATAATACGAGGTAATAAGTGTATTTGTAAACAGGAAAGCTCTCTTCCTTCAACAGTCACAGACTATAGAGCACTGAAGAGGAAACGGGGTACAGTGGTAAATAAAACTGCAGCATTTGCCAGAGGCAAATTATGTTGTGGAAAGCAAAAAAAGATGGAAACATTATGGATACTGTCAGAATGTCACAGCAGAAAGCTACAGTGCGGACCCTAAGGAATCTGCAGTAGAGCTCTAGTCACACTAGTTTTATAGAACATTATGGAAACAAAATTTTGGAAAACACAGCTGAATGCTTCTGGGAATAGTTATTTAGCAGAATGAAACAAAATAAGAGATATTTTTTAACCTTTCAAAGTTTGAAGGAGAATCCAGACGGGAGCCAAAATCTACTTGCCACGCTGCCAGTGCACTTCCTTTACTATTCCTTCACTTTCAAGATGACTCATTTACTTCATCCATTAACTGTGCAACAACTCAGCCTAGATTTTGTGCAGTCTGGGGAAGAACAAACCAATCCTGGTGTACTTTCCAGTACTCACTGCAAGTAGGCCTCATTTTCATTTTGTTTTAAGCTGGTCAGCTGCTGTTAGCACAGCTTTCACAAGTTAGCTGTACACAGTCACCAAACACCATGAGACTTCTCTGTAACATCCTCCCGTTCCTTTTGGTTGGTGGAAGAAAATGGAGTAAGAAAAATGGTCCTTTCTCAACACCTTTCTGACCATATTGCTAATTAAAGAATCAAAAATCTTATCCAGTACCCTGATATCTCGATTTTCTTGGGCACAAACACGTTGAGATTTTTCAACAGGAAAGGAAACAGAAAAGCATCATCTCTGATTTTTAATCCCTGTGAGTATTCAGCAAGGGTTTGATTCTGGAAGTGACAAGTTGTGCTAACAGAAAGCCAACAGAAAGTACCATGCTTCAAGAACCTAACAACATGCTTGAAAAATTGTGTGCATCTGTGCAATGTTGCAGTAACAAGTGAATATCTGTATGGTTTAATAATTCTAAAGTAAAATGTTTTAAACTATATAAGTAAGTAAATAGGAAGAAAATGATGGAATTCTCATTTACCCATTATTGTACTTAATGGTCTTTATGACTGTCTGAAGAAACCATGTAATCAGCCATCCAGCTGTCCTAATAAACTAGTAAATCTTTCACCAAAAAGTCATGGTCTGTTGCTCAAGGAAAGTAGTCAAGGACCAGTTGAGATAGTTCAGGCTGTGCAAACTTTCATTACATGTAGGTGCTAGACCATAATGAAATCCAATTTGTTATCTTAAGTTCATTGAAACATCAGAAAAGCATTTGACATGATTTGTACCTATTTTGGAGTAGCTGAGAAACAGAAAAGTGTGATGGGCATCTTCTATTTGAAAGGCAGCAGCTCATAAGATCACAATGTTGGTAGACAAACCCAGGGAGGTAAAGCATGAACTAAATCAGTCTTAGCATGCATGAGAGAAGGGTTTTTGAGTTTAAAACAAAAAGCACAACAACTAAGCTTAAAATGAAGATTGAACAGAAAGAGAAAATAGATTAAGAAAGCATGCAGGCAACACAAAGAGCTGCCTAGGATGGCTGAATTTGGGGAAATAAATAAATAGAGACTTCAGAGCTAAGACTTTTTTCAGTACATCTTGAAGCAGTGGATTGAGACAGCATCCTTCACTCTGCCACGGGTTTACTGTAGTAGGTGGAGTCACTGTGTCCCAGCCAGCAAAGCTCATGTGCCAGTGTGTTACATCTGCTGTTCCTGTGTTGAAGTGTGAGGTGGTGGGGCAGGCTCCCACACTTCTCACTGATAGTAAACTACATCAGAGGGGAAAGGTGGAGAGCTGGGGACAGTAGTAACTTAAAGTTGCAGGACCATTCAAAAGCAGATTTCTATCAACAATCCCTATTTTCTAAGAGGAGAAATTGAAGCAAAAAAAGATGTCTTTCTCCACTTTGGGAGACTCGTATGTCTTCTAACCCATCAATAACATTTGTGTCTTAAGACTGTCAGACAAAACCAGTCATTTCATCAGAGCTCCTAATCTTAATCTTACCTAATCTCACCCTTATATCTTTTTATCTTACCTTTCTTCTACCTCACCTCACACTTAAGACCCTGAGTCCTTTGCAGATGAGCACTACTGTTATTCAGTTTGTACAATGCTTTGGGATTGTGCTGGGTCACAACTGGGCTCCTCAAAATGACAATAGCAAAAATTTTTATCTGTCTAAAACCACACTTCAAAATTCCATCAGTCTCAAGGACAAAATATTCTGATCCTGGGCATAATCTTATTAGATAAAGAGCTCTGCTCACCGAAAGTCATGTAATTAAAGGAAAAAAAGCACACATCTGAAGAATAACATTAGCCCTATAGACAGCTGGATACAAGCAGCTGCTGATGTGCAGCTGCACAACATGTTAAGCCTTGATGTTCTACGGATCTGTAACATATTTTTTTCTTGACTTGGAAGTGGAGAACTATATATATATATATATACATATATATATATATAAGAAAGTTTTTGTTCTTAATAACTCATGAGAGGGTTACCTATAGCAACTACACATAAGCAGGCTACTCAAAATAGTGTGAAACAGTTCAGCTTAGGAACTAGATCCATATTTCTACAATCAAGGCTGCCTCAAAAGGACAATATTAAAATAAAACCAGGACTGCAGGTACAGTTCTCTTCCTCAGCCATCTTGGAGAAAAGAAAGGATTTAGTTTGCAGTCAAACTCACAAATATTAGGCGCTGTCTAGCACTGTGTGTCCTCAAAATATTTTTCACTCTCATGTGGATCTCCTCTCCATTTGCTGGTAAAGGCCAACCAGAGCTAAATCTGGAAGAGGAAAAACAAAGGGAAGAAACATTTCCTTGTTGAAAGCTCAAACACGCTTTTGACTCAGGTTTGTTTGTGGTTTTTTATTCTGCTGTTGTTTTAAATCATGAAGCATGCATTACTTCTTTCTATTTGCAACATATACAATGTTTAGGTTTGTTTCTTTTGCTCCTCTGGGGTACAAGTAAAGAGTGATTTCAAAGCAGTGCACAATACCAACAAAAGATGTGAAACAGAAAATGTTGATGATTTTGTAACTTCAGTAATATTTCTGTAATGTTTGCATTGTCTCTATGGGATAGAAAAGCTATACAGTTATTCGGTTCTCAGTGATCAGGTTTTATTTTCCTCTCTTTAAAGGAAGTATAATACACATCAAATTCTTTTCGGTGGAATAAATCAACAGGAAGATAACCCCAACGAGTGCAAATTGGAAAGCCTATGGAGTAAAAAAAATTGCAAATTCAGAGTCTTTATTTCACAAGATAGAACTGCATTTTAAGTTGCTTTTTTAAATTAAAAACCAGGTAGCTTGCTTGATATGAGTGACTTCAAGCTAACAGCTACTTTGGGATTTTATCCTTCTATGTTTTGCAGCACTTTTTTCCCACTTTTCTAAAACCCAAACCCCTCATAGAATCATAGAATAGTTAGGGTTGGAAAGGACCTTAAGATCATCAAGTTCCAACCCCCACTGCCATAGGCAGGGACACCTCACACTAAACCATGTCATCCAAGGCTCTGTCCAACCTGGCCTTGAACACCTCCAGGAATGGAGCATTCACAACTTCCCTGGGCAACCCATTCCAGTGCCTCACCACCCTCATCTGTTTCAGCAAGTTCAGAAGCTGGCTGAAATTATCCTGGGCTGCATCAAAAGAAGCCTGACCAGCAGATCAAAGGAGATGATCCTGCCCCTCTACTCTACCCCTGTGAGACCCCACTTGGAGTAAGGAAGAAGTTGTTTATTGTGAGGGTGGTGAGGCACTGGAATGGGCTGCCCAGAGAACTGGTAAATGCTCAGTCCCCGGCAGTATTCAAGGCCAGGTTGGACAGAGCCTTGGGTGACATGGTTTAGTGTGAGGTGTCCCTGCCCATGGCACGGGGGTTGGAACTAGATGAAGTTGCTTTCCAACCCAAACCATTCTATGGTTCTATAAAGTTCATAGCAATAGTTATTTTCAGACTGTTAAGGGAGGCAAGTAGGATTTTAAGAATAGGATTATTTACACACTGAGAACCTGACTTTGCACCAGGAAAATAAAAGCTCAGTGTGGTATCACGTTATTACGAATGTGGGTCACCACGTAAGCTGTGAGCTGGCAAGACATATCAGTGCAGTCCGAGTTGGTGGAACAACAGCCAACAGCAGTACTGGGCTGCCATACTCTGGGTGGATTAGGAGCACAAGAAACAGTGATATGCTTTGATAGCTGGCTTCACAAATTTGATGCAGTGGAGAAACATCATAACTCTAAACCCTGAGATTCCACAGTGGGTTCTGGATGGGTTTGTGGGACTGAGACTGCAAGCCCCTCTGCCCTCTTCTCTCCAGTTTATCATATTCCCTGCATTATCCATCATGTCACTCTGAAATCCCCAATCTGATCATGCCTGGCTTAGTTTACCTTCATCAGACTTCCAGAAATTTCAACACAGCTAAAGAACTGCGCAGCTCTTTCTAAAAAGGGCAAGTCGAGTACACACAGAAAGCTTTAGTACAAAACAGGTAACTTGTCACTGTTAAAATTAACAGAAGCAGGATCCTGAAAATAGGAAGTGCCAGTCTGCCTTGAAGGTTAAGGCAGGGCAGGGAGTTCTTTGCAGTCTTTTGAATCATTCCTTCTATTACCAGAGAGAAAAAGAAATGTAAGTAGAAAGCGACCATTTCTCTGCTTTTAAGTAACTTTATTCTATTTTCTCGTATCTTATCAACTTATTTGGACTTACTTATTACTGCTTACCTTTATGAAACATACATCTCTGTTCTAAATAGCCCCAGTATTTTCAGACTACTTCTGAGTTTCTCTAAATTAAATTGCCTTTTTCTGAATGCTGAGAAATGACACAATATTGGAAGCATGAATCATATATCTATAGGGGGATGTATCCTCCACATTTCTAATGTTGTTTAACATTGTTTATTATTGGATCATTAAAGGCAAGAATTTTTATAAAGCTGGTTATAACAATTGCATTAGCATCCTGAACACTTACAAATAATTTCAAACCCTACAGCATGTATGGCAAATCCATACTGTTCAATTCCTTTGCATACTAGAATCTAACGATCTGTTGCATTGAAAGATCTCACATAACTTTTTCTAAGAGAAAGCAAAATGGTTAGTGAATTTTGTTAGTGGAGGAAAGCATTGCCTTTAAAGAAATAAAAGTCTAAGTCCCTTAAGCAGGCAGGAACATTCATTTCCCTAACACAGTCAAACCCAGTTTGATGTACTGCATTATAATGCATGTGCTCTATCACTGGTGGTGGTTTGAAAGAAAACCCCATCCTTTTTTTCTTCTTTTTATAAAGAAGAGAGGTAAACAAAAGGGAAGGAGAGGTAAACTGAAAGAGACTATCATCTTACGACTTCCCATTAGCATTTCCAAACATTTACTAATATTAAAGAACCCCCAAAATGCATGTTTAAAAATCTGCATCCTAGATATGGTAAGAGTGAGTCATTTCCCATTTGACAAATAAAAGATAGACCCATGAAGTCATGGCATTTTCTTTTATTTATACAGCAGCTGCTGCTGTTCTTCCAGCATCCAGGTTGCTGCCACAGAGAAGTTGGAATAGATTGCCTTTGGGAAATAAATGTTATGAAATTCATATGTAAGATTTCAGATCATTGTTATTAATCTTAAATTTACAAATATCCTTGGAGAGAAATGTATTTACTTTTGGAAAAAAGAAAACCCAACTTGCTATTGTATTCATTTAAAAAATAGTGGCTGTGTCTGCAGAAGAAGGAAAAGATTTAAGTACTTAATTCAAGAACTATTAAATTTCTTTCTTCGGGTGATTTTATGGATCAATCCACTAGTGTGCGCTGCGGTATAAGAAACGTTAGGCACTCACACATCCCCCCCAACTTCATTTACTCCCCCTAAAACAAAAACGAAAATCAAAACCTGGAGTGTGATTAAAACAGTACCAGCTTCTTTTTAATTAGCTCTTCTAGTATTGTTATTGTCTAATTTAAGTAATAACTACAGAGTCTAATTCACATTTAAAGTCACAATGTTAATATTTACATCAACTAAAACTCAAGCTAAAATAAAATCATGCCCGAAATCTAGCAGCCCTACTCTAAAGTGAAACCTTTTCATGATGCTCTAACTCTCCTATTGGAAATATTTTATAAAACAAGCTTTATAGCACAGCCTCTTAAGAGTATAAATAAAGAGATTCTATTTGTCCAAAATCACCAATAACAAGTTTTTAAAATGACTAGCTACTTATTTATGTGATTAAGGTGTCGCTATCATATTGCAATGCTGAAAGGAAAGTCATTTCATTTCAATGACAGTTTGTCCTGATAAACGAAATAAACTTCTACAGCTGTATTCTTTGTCATACTTTCAATTTTCCTTGGGACTTGCAAACATTCTGCAGTTACATCAGTTTAAATTGTTTATTGATTCCAATAGATTGTATAAACACTTTGGAAATATAGCTCAGTGACCTAGAAAGAGCCAGATCAATCAGACAACTTCTCAAGATTAATTTCAAAGGTGTTGTGTCGAGTCCAATTGAGGAAACAGAACCATTTTCCCTGTAATGTGACTAAAGGCATTTATTTTCTTCTATGAGATAAGGAATTTTTTTTTAAGGTCATACTGAAAATATCTACCTTGATGAAAAATAAAACCCGAAGAAAACAAACAAACAAACAAAGAAGCCAAGCAGACAGTCTAGATCCTCTGCTAAAGATTAAAGTTGTTTTCATGTATAATTTTATCCATTAAGATGAAATACTCCATTAGAAGTACAAACAGGATACATCCCATGTACTGTAGTGAAACAGCAGCTTGCAAACTTGAGAGCTGTAATAAATAGGAATTTTCAAATGTCAGACAATCCAGTCATCCTCTTGCACATAGCCAAAATGTTAATATCACATTTCAGCAGGAGGTACTAATACATTTCATATCAGTAGAATTAATGCAGAAGCCTACTGCAGAATATTTGCAAAGCCTAGCATGACCCCTTCCCCCAACATTACACCTTCTAGCCTCTGAATAACTCGGTGCATGTGGCCTCCATGAAGAATTCATCAGCTTCAAAGATACAGACTTCATGCTGAGCAAATACACATACAAGGACAAACTAGCAGACGACGGAAATCAATTAAGTCCTGTAGTACCAGATTCTCAATTGGAAAGAACGCTACTGTAATTGGAGGAAAGAGGGAGAAAGAACTCTTAAAGCTAACTATAACCTGAAGAAAACGCAATCTGCAAGAACTTAAACATGGAAGAAGAGATTCTCGAGAAAGCCCAATATATTTTATTCTGAAAGAGAAGAGAAACCTCACAGATTTTATATCCAAGTAGGTACTTATGCAGCATTCGCTGTAAGTGGAGGAGTTGCTTTATTCTCATTTAAGAGCATGTGAAGTGGTAATTCAGTACAATGAACTTGGTTCTCAGTGTATACTGGTCTGTATAGAGGCACAATAGAAAGGTTGGGCTACACTTAAGAGTTTTACTGGTCTACTTAGTAAAGGATGCAATTTTGTTTTGCTTTCTCTTAAAATGACTGATGGCTATAAACCTTAGCGTAGATGCCGCACAGAAGTGGTTTAGAGACTATGTTGGTACATACCAGTTCCTGAATTGTAATGAAAATATGCCAACATATAAAAATCCTTACATTCTCACGGTATTTGAAGTGGAAGAAGTAGGCTGGTTTCACAATATCAGAATACTACTATGAGGCTGAAACAATTACACACAGACAAGGCCTTAAATCAAAGCACAGAAGCCTAAATATTTGGAAGCAGAAGCTGACAGCTTAGCTGTATACCTCTTCAGTAAGAAATGGGAAAAAAAAAAGAGTAAACAGTTCTCATCCTTTCTATATAGTTCCTCTTATTTTCACAAGCCCTGTTTACAGTTAGGCCTTCAAGCAGTAAAGATGCATTCAGTGTTGAGTTTTCACATCAGTAAAGGCTTTCTTTTCCCTTCTAAGTTTCAGATCTAGCCCTTAAAACTGTGATAGGATGAATCACCCTCATGTAAAAAGTGAAGCTTCTGAGATTTTAAGGAAGGCCAATACCCTAGCTGAGCAGTTGCCCCCCAAAAGGTTGAAGTTATGCTGGTACTAAATCATTAGTATGTCATAAATGGGCTGCACCTCCTTATTCCCTTTGGAAGCTTTTCCATTACTTTCTATCTTCTCTGAATTTATTAATTTATACACAAAACAGCTTTGACAGCAATCGATTTCAAATTTACTTACCACTGCAGCAAAATCAACCAATGAAGATGACAAATCGTGCAGATGTTGCTCAAAAATATGAAACAAGGCTTAGGCACTGCTCAGTTTTGCAAACTATAGTATGAAATAACTGATCTTCAAGTGCTGATTCCAGAAGTTAACTTAAAGAATGCAAAATAAGTACATTTCCCCAAAGAGGTAAGAGTGATAAACCCAAAAGATTCAAGAACAACCTCATTACCAAACTAAATTCAAAATAAAATCGGATATGATTACTTATAAATGACCAGAGACAGACAGGAAACCAAGTTGCATCCTCTCCCTATAGCAAGCTTTTTTTTTCCAAGGAAGCTAATTTTTTCCGTGTTCTATTTGTAGTGGAAACTTGTCAGAACTTAAATATATACTTTCACAGAAGTAAACCCTGTCTCAGCATGTATGCCACAGTCAAAAATACCAGGTGAACTACCTGTGTCTGGATTTTACTCTGCAACAAAATTAGTACCCTAGATCCTGGGGTGACACATTTCAAAATCACTGAAGCCAAACCTTCTGAAAACTGGAGTTTTCAAGGCCTTCATGTAGGATCTAGTAGTTCATTAATATTTAACTATTAGGATCTATCATTATATCTATCATCAGTAACATCTAACAATCCTGGTATTTCCGTAGCACTTGGAAAAAGATAATATAAAAAGATGGTAGTAAAACAATAGAGGAATATTACAGAAGGGCATCTGATCCAGACAGTTAACCTCTGTCTTACTTCAAAGAGAACTTAGGTTTCTGTTAAATTTTATAGTGGATAAGATCACATATCTGAAGTGTAACCAGGAGAACATAAAAAAAAGACATTGAGCTGCAGTTCACTCTGGAAACAAAAGCAAAAGCCTGCCATTTCCAGAGTAAGAAAAAGAATCCTTTGATCCAAATGCATGAGAAGTAGCTTTGCCTCTCAACATAACAGAAATGGTCAAATACTTCTATGATTGCTATAGTCTCTTCAGAAAAGGATTTCTCTTGTGCCAGCACATAGCTCCATTCACAGGGCTTCTTGACCTTACAGAATCCATTTCACTACTTCTCCTTTTCTTTATAAAAGGTACTTTGCTGCAGGTTTCGGTGCTGCAAGGTAGGCTTAGCTTGTAAGTCCCCAGGAAAAATACCGTCTTCTAGGAGCGCATGAGGATGTATATACACCATGGATTTTGCTTTCCTGGAGCAGCACTGAGAGAATATAGTGCTAATGCTCTTTTCCAAAGCATATAGGATACCTATCTATACACAAAAGAATACTTACGTATGCTCAAACAACCAGACCATGGGGACAAGTCGACTGTATTCATATACTGCTGGCCACACATCATGGGCAGGAACTGAAGAGTGTGTATGTAGAACTGGTCTGCACACCAGCTAGAATCAAAGTGGGAAGTGGAGTTGTACAGCCACACTCTACTGAGAGTCAGTTTGCAACACCAGCAAATGTTAGGTGACCTAAATAATGAAAAATGTAAAACTAAAATATGAAAAATAAATATTCAAAACTTTGCTGCCCTGATTCAGCAGTAAATCTATTTACAGTTCTGCTTCTGGCTCAAACCCAGGGGAAAAGGGGAGAGGACTGTCCTTGTGGTCCCTCAAGCAAAGGGACTGGAAACTGCTAGAAAGGATACAAAAGGGCTCAGAGGACCTTATGCAAGACCCCATTTTCTGTACCTTGGAAAAGTATTTCAGTGACTTCACAGCAGCTGGCTCTGGCAAATGCTCTCAAGAAGACACATATTCACTTCACACTACTCTTTTTAAAGAGAAAAAAGGAAAAAAGGGAACTAAAGGTCAAGGTGGGGAGTCAAGTTCCATATTCACTCTGGGTTGACTAACATTAAAAATATAAGCCTGGATACGCTAAGCTCTTTGTCTTTGTAATTCAAAATAAAATTGAGGAAATAAACATCAAATACTGTGAGATAAGACTCTATATTCTTGCCAATACACTAACACTGATGTACTTTCAGTAGTACTCATTTTCTCTGTATTTCTATGATCTGAACAACAGCGTTTGCATGCATTTCCAAACATTGACCTCTGCTCCATGTTTGTCATTCCAAGTATAACTCTCAGTATACAGTCAGCTAAAACTGTTCTCTCAGCAGCATGAAATGAATTTTTTTGAGCCTATGCCCTTTACCTTCTCATTTTGATAATTTCCTGATGACAAAATTAAGTGCTTACATCTTTAACATAAAGAGTAACATAAAGAGATCTTACATCTCTAAAAAGCTGAGAACATTTGTTCTAATCAGAAGAAAAAAACATACTTTCACAAGATCACAAATCTCTTCTGAAGAGGGGCTCATAAAGAGAAAAAGCAAGAACATTCAGACAAATTCAAGATTAAGTGACAGATGACTAAATGACCATGCATGTAACAGCAGCTCACAACATACAAGACTTTCCTGCTATCAATATAAAAGACACTTCCAGCTTTAAATATAATGCATTTTAAAATGTACTCCCCTTCCCAAACGAAGTCCAGCTGGAAAAAGGATTAAAGAAGTCCCCATTACTGTATCTCTTCCCCAGACATAGGGAACTAATGCACTGACATTATCAGAAGAGAGTGGGGAGGTAGACAAGATGACAAAGAAGCTTCCTCCAAACCCCAGCTGCATCCTAATCTCTGTATAACAGTTCTCAAGAAATACTATTACACAGATCAACAAACAAGCAAGTTTTCAAGCAGAGGAAGATGTTAAAACACCAACTTGATCTTTATGAATATTAAAAATTCAATCCCCACCTGCCATCTGTCATTTTTCTTTTTAGAGAAAAAATCTGAGACAAAAAAGAACTAGGCTGTGTGTAGGCTATAAAAGGCACCTTGTGAGCATTGACTAACTGAGGTACAACCGGTAACATGGGTGAAACAGTCTGGAATGAGTGTGAACTAGCCACCAACGTACATCTCCAAGTAGGGCCTCAGAAAACACTTCAGCATTTAGGACAGGACATCAGTTTGATCCTCAACTTCTCCCAATTATTTTATGTATTTGCTTATTCAGGTCCAGCTTTGTATAAAGATTTTCTGCTCCCAGAAAGCCATCTAGTTACTTGCTAAACTGAATGTACAGTAGAGGCATTGTGCACCAAATACACTCAGCAGGAGGTAGGGAATACTTGCCTTGAAGGACTGGAGGAATTAAGCAAGAAAAAATCGGTTGCTTTTTGACATTTCTTCCATCTCACTCTCATGAGACTGAAGCTGTAAGACTTGCCCAAAATACTAACCCAGGGACTGAAATCCACTGAACTAAGGAATAATGGAAACTGTCTCCATCCCAACCTCACTGTGGTCAGTGGAGACTAATAAAACTAATTTAAATATAGCAATTAATAGATAACACAACTCCTGCAGAGACCCACACTTCAACTCAAACAAAACAAAATCTTAAGCTGTCAATTAATCGGAAAGATTGGAAAATAATACACTTACTAGATTAATGCTAGCCCAAGCATGTTTCACACACTAGTCATGCATCTGACTACAGCATAGCCACAAGTATGTGCTTACAAAAGGTTTCCAGGTACCTCCCATTAAGCCTATTTGACATGTAGCTACAGTCACATTCCTGAGATTCTAATTGTCTGTGAGACAATGATTATTTAAGTATTCTCTGTTTTAGATGGACATTTGGCGGCCTGAAATCTAGAGCTTCATTATTTCAGAGAAGGTTAGCAGCAGAGATGTCAAAGATCCTTTTCATTGCCGCATTATTCATTAAGCAGAGAGGGGATGGCAAAAACTGCACCTGAAGAGAAGTCAAACAACAATACAGGTGTTGGGGAAAGATTTTTCGGTCTCTTCAGCCTGCATACCTCCAAACATGCAAGCTACAGTCATGCAAGCACTGTTATAATCTGCTCATGTTAGTAACTCCAGAATTTCACAAACAAAACTAGGACATTACCTTTCCCTTAGAGAGGATCGATTTAGCACAGAACTTAGAGAATGCTTATGAAGTGCTGGAGATGCTGAGTGCTCTAATGAACCAGCAGAATGGGACCGTCTGTTGTCTGGAATTGAGATCACATCCTCATTGCAAACATCAGAGCTGCCAAAGTATTTTCCATGAGGAGATTTTGCCTGTAAAAAAACCCACCAAACCTTGCTAAATTTTATTATGAATATCAAGATGTAAACATTTCATATTTCTGTATTTCAAACCAAAAGGCTAAAGGTTGCACACACATGCAGGAATATCTGCCTGCTGCAGAAAGAACAAGGACCCTCATTTCATAGAAAGAGCCCTGGTCTAAATTAAATCAGCAAGTATCTTACACACCACCTTACGACAAAGGCTACTGTAACAGCCCTTTTATCACCTTGTCTCATTGCACAGTTTAAAGGCTTACCCTTCCCAGAAATCTCACAGATTCAGAATGATGCCAGAGAGTTTAACCTTAGTCTTCTCCTCAGTCTGATACCCCTTGTTTTTAGACTTTTTGCTCTCTCATGATTTGATGTTCCTCAAGGGAAAACTCAGGCCCATCTACTCATCATCTACTCAGTCTTCATTACACTCATTACTCCTTTCATGATTCCTCTTAACATGTAACACACCACTAAAAAGTCTCTGTGGGTTACCACCTTTTATCTGGCATGGAGACTTTTACAGGAGCTGTTTCCCAAACCTAAGGAAAACAAAAACCCACAACAAAACCAGACCAATAGTAATCAGGTTATTCATAAGCTCTTTCCAGGCTGCTGGGTTATTTCCTCTCAGCTTTGGGAAACAGCTCCTTTTAAACAAAGCTGTATTATATTTCTGGCAAGAAAGAGATACATTCTCTTCAGCCCTAATTTTGTGAGAATCACAAGTGATTAGTGGCATCAAGAACATGATGACTTAACCTGCAGCTATCTGCATAAAATCTACTGCTTCTAAAATCTGCTTTCCCACTGGGGGAGAGCAGAGGGATGTGGGAAACGATACGACTTTAAAATAGCCATCTTAAAGAAACAAAACCAAAAATACATATTTAGTATATTTAGTAGAATTTCCCTGTTTTCTCTACAGTATCTCATTTACAGACATGGAACAAGCTAGAAGTGGCACAATATATTAGAATTACATGGTAGGCAAAACTGCAATCCTTGGTAATAAAAGCTTAGAATCTGACAAAAGTGCACTTAATATATGGCAAGGTTTATCCTTATAATTCACCTTCTTTCTTCCTCCCTGTCATCATCAGTTTTCCCAGCCATTAGGAAATCCAAGAGGGCATACATAATTAAATGCCTAAACCCATGATTCCTACAGTACTTCAAGAAGACAGGCAAAACAACTAAAGGAGGATGGAAAGAATAAAACCCACCAAAACTAAGGGAACCCTGACATCATTCCTTAGATTCATGGAATATACAAAGCAGCTAAGATCTGAAAAAGGAAGGATGTGAAATAACAGAACAGTGACTTCCCAGTTGCACAAGTGCTACCCTTCTATATAATTCTAGAGTGGAGTTTGCTCTGAGAAGGACTGGGAAGGCAAACTGCCTTTAAAAGCTCTTCTATAGCCTTGTCACAAGCCTTAATGCCAAGGAGAAGCAAGGCCTGTACCTACAAGCACAAATATAGAGTGTTAAGTTTCATTTTTCTATGTGTAAATAAGCTGTCAGCAGGCCTAAACTGGGTTAGATCAGATTTAACAAACATATCCCTTTGCTTGCTTTTGCTACTACAGTAGATAAAGTTTCAAAAATACCTATGCAAGAAAATATGCAAGACAATCCTTCTCACTCACAGCTTCCCAAAAAACAGTGTGTAAACAGTAGTATTTCAGAGTACTCACTTTGGCTTTCCTGGGTCTGTAGCTGCCAAGAAGAGAAGAATCTGGAGAAAGAAAAAAGATGTATCCCAGAAGAAATTTAAAAAAAAAATAAAATAATCCAAATGTCCTCAATTTTATGAAATCTACAAAATAGCTTACCTCTCCTCCCAAACAATATTAAAGTTGTTGTAACTATTATTACTACTATTATTATTGTTGTTATTATACCCTCTGAATTTCTAAACAGTCTCAGAATATTTCAGGATATCACCTTCTTTAGCTGAAAACAATTCCCACATTTAATGGAATATAATATTTATAATAATTAACTGGTGTATGCAAGTGTCCTGGATTCTGTTAATCTATTAATTGCCTAAGTAAGTATAAAATCAGGCTCCACCATTCCCAAAAATTCTCATGCACATTACACTACCTTACTAATCTTCTCTGGACAAGCTTCCTTATGGCTCCTTTTCCCTCCTCTTATAATCTCTTAATTTCATCCCTCACAACTGATGCACAAACATGAGTATGAAGGCCATGGAAACACGTGAGGAAACTTATTAGGTCAATATTGGGTGAGGATGTTTCACCAATGTCAATACAAGACTCATCCCTGCGAGACTGACATTAAGTTGTATCTGCTTTATTGATTATTTCTACCAGTCTGTAGTGACCTAAGCTCAAAGAGGTACATCTATGCTGTACCACAATGTAAAGACACCCCTCTATAAGCTACCTGCACAAAAGCCAAAAGGACTAAACTGTACTGTCAGTATTAAGGTTTTTAATCCTAGGAATCTGTTTTGTTCAGAAGTTACAGTTAAGCTTCAAGACACAAGCAGGTAACCAGTGAATCCTCTCGAGGTAGATTCAGTGTTACTACAAAGAACAAATGTAAAATAACAAATTCACAATAATTTCCTACATAAAAACTTGTAATTAGTGAGGAGGCACAATAAGAACGAGGCAGAGCACACATAATGAACAAATACTGATGAGACGTGAAATACGTTGCCAGACATATGCAATAAAATCACGTTTTAGGGTACTTCTTTAAATTTCTGGTCTGACACTTCTTATTAAACTCTCACTTACTGACACTAATGAATGATGAAGCAGATATTGGAGCACATCCTGGATGCTCATTAATAATGGTAAGTCACTGATCCACTACTTACAAATACTGCTGAAATAAATACTCTTTTCTGAAGCAAAACAGCCCTTAAACTTCAAAATGATCAATACTCCAAGCCTGATCAACACACCTAGAGGCTGAGGTGCAGATTTGCTGCACTATGCAACTCATTAAAACAAGTAGAGTGAAAGAGTCCTCACCTGAGCTTTGCTATGTTCTACTCCTACTTTCATACTACATAGGACTACGTTTCAAGTTTCATGAAGTAAAGTAGTATTCAAAACCACCTTTTGCAGCAGTAGCTTATGCAGTATTCTTCCTTTTTCTCCATTATAGACCAACATTTCTGCAGAAAATAAAAGCATTACTGAGATATATAGTAGAAAATACTGACCATGGTCTGCCTTGTTCCAGGCTTCTGCTGCACTTTCTCGTGTATGACAACAGGTATGGAGTTTAGCACCAGGACTTGGTTGTTCAACCTGAAGCAAAGATACTGTTAAAATGATCAGTATAAGATGTACAAGTTCCTATTTTTTTTTTGGTTTTGTTCATAAGATCACATCCAGTCCTGTCTGAAATATACTATTTTTATTTAAATACTATTTGAAACTGATTTTACTACACTTTGCTTACATTATATATATTATTAACATTACTGAGCATAAACAGAAACAGTGCTAGGAAGGTCTAGAAAGCTCTGAATATCATATTGTTCAAAGAAAAAAAATGCAAATAGCTTCTCCTTCATCTATCATGTCTGCAGTTTTTGAACCAATTCTTGCATTTCATACTTAATCCAAAGAGTTCAGATGTCACAAAGTGAGATCTGAATCCCTTCCTAATTAAAAAAGTTACATTTAACATAATCTAATTTTAACCTTCATGTAAAACAAAATCTCCAGGCCAAAAGAGTCCTCGGCAGTAAAGCTGCCCTAAAAGAAGCATTCTCAATCTAGAAAGGCCATGAAAGTCAGGATACGGTACATTAAGAGAAAAGGTTTTTCTTTTTTTGTACAAATATAACCAAGCAATTGAATCAATAATCAGTGTTTAAAGATGCTATAATTAAACTAAACTTCACCTATAGATCAAAAAACTGAAGAATTGATTAAAAGGAGATAAAAGTAAAATATCTGAGAGAGAAATAAAGGGAGAGAATATGTTATGAATGCTTAATGGTTTATTAAGGCTAATCTGAATTTCTGAAGGTACCCATATGTAGAACAAAACTTGGAAAAGAGTTCTGAAATTTGACAAGATATTATTAATTCATTTGTACATAAACTAAAAAAAAAACACATAAATAAAGTGAGAAGCAAACTAATTAAACACTAAATTCTCAATGGCTTTGAGAAGTTTCCAGAATTGCAGGCAAATCATAATGTCATAGCAGAGAATCAGAACAATGCCATTTCTGCCCCTACACAGTCAAAGTGGTTTTCTAAAAAGAAAGGGTTGTTGCAATTATATGTAATACTAAAAGGGGGAAAAAAAAATATGAGAATATCATCCTCCAAGAGGATGTGAAATCTGCCCCCTTCATATTAAAGCACTTAAACACAGTTTCTTTAAATAAGTACCTAATTTCAGAGCAATTTTTCACATACGGTTAACAAAGTCCTTATGCGGGTGCTAAAGTCAGTTTGATTATGAACCAAAGTGTTAGTGTTATGAGTCAAAGTGTTAGAGATGTAGCTCTGAGCAGAGGAAGTGTTTCAAAGATCACAGGATGCCAACATAAAAAAAGTTGAAAGAGAGGAAGTGCAAATGTTCAGAATGTGACTAGACACTCTTTCTTTAAAGTCTTATTCAGGAATTTTTAATACCGATATCAATTACTTCCAAGCTGAATTTATACACCTATTATCCTGTCTAGTGCGCTGGAAGAAAAGAAATGGAGCCTTGGAGAATTTAACCAAGATATTCATGAAAGAATTTGATCTTTGTCTGTTACTAACGCGGATAAAAGAAATTTTATTTTAGTTAATTTTACATTTAAATCACTATGTGACAGACTGTTAAGGAGAGAAAAATTATTCATCTAAACTAAGAGCTGAATGAAATTTTGGAGCTATATTTAGTGAAAGAACAATATTTGATCTGAGCTTAAGCTGGAAGCACTTTGGAGAGAATACAAACCCGTCTAACTACAAATGGAGGTTTATCGGTATCTCTTCTGAATTCATAAGGACCAAGTTTTAAATGGGCCAGTCGTTGCCTGGCGTCTTGTGATAGCTCACACATTCGTCTTTTTGTGTATGGAGATGGAGAACGTGATTTAGAAGCTATTGTAGGCTGCTCGTAGCTCTTTGTTGCTAAGCTGTTCCTGTTTTTCTCAGGTGAAAGAGTATTTTTCTTTGGCAACTTTGTTTGCAATTTTCCATTTGGGGTTGAGTGATGTACCAAATTCAAATCATCCTAAAGTGAAAAAGAGAAATTATCTGCTTTGACAGCATGCAGAACAAAGATCACTGGAAATAATGTAGAGGGAACTGATTTCCCCTCATATAATTACAATCAAACAGCAATTTAAAATGCAGCAACATATTTTCCATTTTCTCTGAAACCAAAAGAAGGTTAAACCACACATTACTAGATGTTAGTTAAGGTAGAGTGTCTGATACTCACCCAATTAGCTTTCTTACACAGTTAGTGTACAGAGACTGTGAAAAAGTAAATTGAGTTTTGTCACAACTTCATTTCACACAAAGTTTACCTGGGTTGCACAGACATAGACTTGAAGCATTTTTTCATCTGTTTAAGCTCTTTTTAACCTTTTAGAACTCTCTCCCTTTACAATAAAGTATATAAATTGAACTAGAAGCCTGTTTAATATTTTAATTTATGTGCACCTCCCTTCCCACAACCAGCAAAGCCTATCTAGCAACCAGGGCTGACACCCCCTCCAAGTAACTCTTAACATCTTCAGTGACTGATTTCATATTCTGGGAAGCTGTTTCCAACACTAGAGTTTTGTTGGAAATACATTATAATTCCTTTGTAAACCGTAGCATTAAACGAGCAACCAATTAATCTACAAGCTTTATAGGTCAAGGTACTCTAGATTCTACAATTCTTACTAGGCTACTTAGTCAGCAGCATTTTATCTTTGAATACCACAGTACAGATATAATTAACTTTTTGTTCAAATTTGGCCCAAATTCACAAATTATAAAAGACAAAAAATAATCGTATAGCAAAACTCTTCTTCCTGTTGGAAATTCCTCTTCAAGCTTGAGGAAACTGACATTAGTCATGAATCTGAATGTTGCACAAACTGCTTCAGAAGAACTCAGAAATGAAATGTCCAGCTTGACTTCAAGCCTTTTTCTCTATACAGAATCACAGAATGGTTTGGGCTGGAAAGGACCCGAAGATCATCTAGTCCCATGTCCTGCCATGGGCAAAGACACCTCACACTAGACCATGTCACCCAAGGCTCTGTCCAACCTGGCCTTGAACACTGCCAGGGATGGAGCAGTTACCACTTCTTTGGGCAGCCTATTCCAGTGCCTCACAGGGAAGAACTTCTGCCTAATGTCTAACCTAAATCTCTCCTGCTCAAGTTTAAACCCACTGTCCCTTGTCCTATCCTCTGTCCTTGATGAAGAGTCCCTCCCCAACACCTTTATAGGCCCCCTTTAGATACTGGAAGGCTACTATGAGGTCTCCACGCAGCCTTCTCTTCTCCAGGCTGAACAGCCCCAAGTTCTTCAGCCTGTCTTCATACGGGAGGTGCTCCAGTCCCCTGATCATCCTCGTGGCCCTTCTCTGGACTTGTTCCAACAGTTCCATGTCCTTTTTATGTTGAGGGCACCAGAACTGCACACAATACTCCAGGTGAGGTCTCACAAGAGCAGAGTAGAGGGGCAGGATCACCTCCTTTGACCTGCTGGTCATGCTTCTTTTGATGTAGCCAGTATACGAGTGGCTTTCTGGCCTGCAAGTGCACACTGCTGGCTCACATTCAGTTTCTCATCAACCAACACCCCTAAGTCCTTCTCTGCAGGACTGCTCTGAATCACTTCTCTGCCCAACAACAAAAGAGGCTGAGGTTGTGCGTTTGTTTTGCACCAACACAGTGTGAATCTGGCATCACTCGGACTATTCATGCCAGTATCTTTCTCACTCCTGCACTAGCACTTGTGCACCTGTAGCGAGCTGGAGTATGGAACTGGCCCAAACAAACCCAGACCTAATTCTCTAAGCTTAATTTCAATTTAATCAGAAGTAAGCTGTGCTTCTTCTGGCTCGCACCAATTGTGAAACTAGACCTTCACTGCAACACATACAAATTTTATATGTCATTCATAACATATTAAATATTTTTAAGGACATTTTAAATTTTAAATCAAACTGAAGTTAGTTTTCTGACAATTACTGTTTTATTATTTTTTTTAATTCTTTATCTAAGTGTCTCAATACATTTTGTTTGCTGAATTTGGAAGAAACTTCTCAATAACTAATTAGAAATGCCACAAACACTTCCTTAACCTTCTCTGCATGCAAGCCTTCCCGACAACCATTCCATTTTAATGAGGCTGAACAATTTTTCCAGTACTACAGCAAAAAACAGGAGGACATACAAATAACTTTACATGACAACCTGTGCCAGGAAACCCAACCAAAATTCCAATCCATGAGACCAGAGTAAAGTGCTACCAAATGACTGAACACATAGGAGATCTTTTTTCCCCCTAGTCTCTTCAGCTAGTTCAACTTTGCTTGTTGCAGAAGCAGCATTTCCAGATTAATACTGGTGACAGCCATTTCAACAAAAAAATCATTTTTTTCATCTTCATTACAGTTACTGATACTGTTACGGAAAACAATTAAATTAATTGGTTTGGTTTTTATAAGATACCTTTTCTGACTTCACCTGGCTTTCATTGTCCTTAATTTTAAGTGTCAGTAAGAAATGGTGAGAAGGCATCTTCCCACCTATAAATACACCGGGGATTGACACTTCAGCTGATCATAGAACACAGCAGCTGATAATTGTTTCAGATTCAAGGAACTCTCAGCGTTTGCTGTCATGCACCGAGCCCACTCTTTACTCATACTTGATTAAAAATTTAATCAAGTTGTCAAGCACCCATGATAACTGCTTTAACCACAACAAAAGAATGAGAAAAGTTTGAAGTGAGCAGCACATGCAAAAATTGGACGCAAGGCTATCAATATTAAATCTAAAAATTAAATTGCAAACAATTAAATTATGCTAACCTGTATGTGACTCCTTCCTGAGCTTAACAGGCTTTCTGTAATAAGGGAGCTTGTAGAAAATCTCAGTTTTGGTGCAATTCCCTAGAAGAGAGACAATAATTGAACATCAAGCTCCAACTCAAGATAAAGGGTATCAAAGAGGTAAATGTCACCTAATGTAACAAACCATTCCTAATTTTCAGCCATTTCCTTTGTTAATTTCAGCCTTTAATAAAGATAATTAGAAAAGACAGAACAGCAATGGTAAATGTCAAGATGCTAACATTTGCATTTCTGACAATTCAATTACAGATGATTATATTGCTTTCGTACAACAATTAAGGTCTGACTTTTATTTCAACACATATCTTAGTCAAAAGCACTTTCAAAGATTTTTCATGCCATGCTATATAGCATCAATAAAAATTCCAGTCATGCTCTGGAAGTTTCATTAACTCTAACTTTGGAAACTTATTTATAAACAGCCTCAATTGTGCAATCTTTTTTGGTAAAAACATATTGAAAATTGGTCAGTTCCACTGCAAATTACCATCAATTTGTAACAGTATGATTAAGAATACTCTTTATTCTGTAACCATTAGATCAAAGTCTGATTTCTATGGATTGTCTCCCATGTTCTATAACCACGTTTCACTTTCGATTCCCTCTTACACATGTGGCTGGCAAGAGGCAGCTTACCAATTTAGAATCAGTGAGGTCCAACTGGACCTCCTGGACAAGCAGCACACTTGTACTAATGGCTAGCAGATTTATCTGTCTTTATGTGGCTAACAGTTTCTGTTCAACTCATCTTTTTTTACTGCAGCCACGTCTAGAAACATAATACCTCCAAGAGCTCTGTCTGCTGTGAAATTTATCTAGAATTGACCAACGTATACAAATGTACTGGGTGTAAATGGCAGAGATTATAACACACAAGTTGAGTGACATTAAAAAAGTCATAAAAGAACTAAAGGCCACATATGCTATAAAAAGTGGGGATCACCTATGTGCATCTTATACAGCTCTGCAGAAGCAAAGACAGAATCAATCATCCCTAGAACTTTCTCCCCTCTCTCCTTTCAACACAGAGAGAGTTTGCTGCTCTGAGGCATCTGTGTGCATCGGCATTTGTGCACATGAATGCACAAAATCACCAAGAAACAAAAAGGTGCTGGTCTGTTTGTGACTCTGCCCTCTGTTCTTAAGAATTAGCAGGAACTTCGTAAGTGAAGTCTACTGCTGAACCAAACTGTCCTCTACTACCAGACTGAACACACACTGATTTCCCACAAGGGAATATGATCTGACTCCAGGTTAGATTACAGAAATGAAATGACAAAAATACCACGAAAGCTCAGTCATAACAATTAACTGAGCCCAGGATTCAATCAAGTCAAGTTATGGCACATAACAGAGACTTTAAAGCTGACCGTCTTTAATCAACTAATTTTATTACAAATGAATTGTCAAATGCTATCAACAATTTAAAAAAGGACATATCAGAATTAGTAAGTCTTCTATAAAAAGCAACAACTGAGCACCTATTGCTCTTACAGAGACTGGAAATGGTTAAATGCTCCTACCTAAAATAAAGAAATAAATCACACAAAACTATGTCTTCTTCAAAGAAATGGTTTGTGGACAGCGGATACAGGATGGCACTGGCATAGACAGGCAAGGAGATGTCAAAAGTAACTTATAGGCCAAAAGCAATCAGAGAACTTCCATTTTCTGCAGTTCCCAAACTAGGGATTGCTGAAGGGTATTCAATACAGCATTATGAAAAGACTGCCATATAGCCCCAAAGATATCTGTAAATGAAAATCCAGCCAGAAGGTTTTTGGGATCTGTTCTTCTGCCTCTGGCTTAGTGGTGTCTACAGCCCTGATCAGGCTTGTCAATCCTTCTGTATCAGCCATTAAACAGAAGTGATAAGGATTTAATAATAATTTGCTCATAGAAAAAAAATTAAAGCTGGTTCATATTTAGAAGAACACAAGTTAGAAAACAAGTCTAATATGTGCTTTGATTGCCAGGAGAATAAGTACAAGTTTGTAGCACAAAAAGGTATATATGAATATAATAGAACACCTTGCATTGGTTTGCTAATGAAAGCATAGCTAAAAAGAAACTGCTTTAAGTAACATGGCAAATACTGCACGAGGGTGGGAATGGAGATAAGACCATCTGTAAGAAGTCATCAGCAGTCAAGGCTTAAACATATTCTGAAAGGCAAAGGTTGCAGAGAAATACAGAAGAGGCAGCAAAACCTCAGCTGGGCAACACTGGACCAGGAGAGATAACTCGAGGCATGTCCTGTATGTGTATTGTGTTTGTAAGCCTCGTAAGACATTTAGCCAGAGACATTATCAGACAAGTGCCAGATTTCTGGAGGAGTTCTGATCCTCTAAACTCGGGATTCCTTCCAACTGGCAGATTAGCAGTGTTAATCAGACACTGCTTGTCACTGCCTATCTGAACTCCACAACCGTAACCCTGCTGTTGCTACCTTTATTTTCTTTTAATAAAAGACAAATTTATTGGCAATCAAAGTGCTGCCGAGGCACAGCTGTCAGTCAAAAATACTCAACATCTCAGCTAGCTATAAATAACTTTTCATGAGGGAAGAACACGGCTTTGACTGGCATAGGAATAATGTGAGGGTTCTCATGACCTTGTTTAACACTTTTGCCTTTTGCTTAGCATTCACATTCAGTGCTTGGTGTGGACAGAGTTAGCAGGAGACACTTGCCAGTAAAGATTAAGGAACATTAGAAGATGGAGGCATTTGAGACTGCACTTCTACTGGAGGTAAAAATTCTTTCACAGCTATCCCATTTGGCAAGCAAGGAGAGGAACCACAAGTTCTTTTTGGGAGCATCCCTCCAATTCCATCTAACACAGATTCTTTATTATTCAGAAAACTGGGGTCAGTGTGCCAAATTCCTTTCTTAAACTGTTTCTGTGATGGAGATAGTATGGAGCAACAGCTGCTGCAATCCTCGTTCCAGGGCAGAGATGGATTTCATTTACACTGTTCCCAAGGACATGGAAGCACATTTCTGTCTTACATCTGTCTTACACTTCTTAAAGCTACTACAGTGTCATCATTCAGCTACACATCCAAATGACTCTGATCACATATTCTAGAGCTCACAAATTACAGCACCTTCTCTTTATTAGAAAGTACCTAATTTTTGTATTCAAGACCTCAGTCCAACAAACTTCTTTATTGGTTCTGCTTCTGCAAAGATTCCTCGTATTGCATTTACAAAAAATCTGAAACCATTTTGCTAATACCATCTCATATATTACTGCCTCTCTATCTGTGCTTTTCCAATATTAGGAAAGTACCTATTCTACAAGTAATATGAAAGCAATACAGTCCCATCCCCTCTCTTGAGACACCAGTAACACGCATAGGATAAGCCATATCAAAGAATGCTACGGTCAAAACCCAATTTTGCTATTTTTGCAGGGACAGTTTAAGCTGCTGCAGAACCATACATTTTGTATCACAAAATCATGGCTTTAATTCATTTAAATGTAACACAGCATTAGACAACAAATTAGCACTTCTAATTGCAAGTGACTGGGCAATTTCCAAGTTGCCCTTGTAGGGGAAAGATTATACCAGCTAAAAGGTACCAATGACCTTTAGTCATAATTTTCCTCCAGACATGAGTTTTCAATCCAATCACAATGGACAGGGTAAGTAAGCCCCTATTTTCCCAATTCAAATCTCCTGCCAATCCACCAGTAAAACCTAATGAAAATAGGATAAAACAAGCCACAAAACACACCTCCCACATCATCACCTTCAAAGTGCCTTCCTGAGTTATTCCACCAACGCCCAAGATTCAACAGTCAAACTCTATGAAAGGGCAGTGTGATATGAATTCATTTTCATTTACTACGTACTTGAGCTGTTCTCTCCAGAAAATTAACATTAATTCATTGCACTCATTCTGCCAATTAGTTGTCATTTATCACAGTTTTTTTGAAACTGTAGAAAAGGCAAGTCACTAAACTAGTGTGAATGGCCCAAACTTAAGAAACAGGCTTTGGAACTGAAAAATAACCATGCAGCACTAAGCTAAATTTCAGTTCCTTACTGTTTTCATGGTAACGTTGCACCTCAGAGAAGCCCACAAGTCAGATGACATAGCACTATATATTTGTGCTGTCATTGTCTTAAACAGTACCAGAAATGGTCCAAAAAAAAATCCTACAAAGGCAGACTGAGGAGGAGGGTTACATGGTTTTAGTGTTGAGAACTGTGAAGTTGGTGTGGTATTTCCCTCTTCTCTTGCACCCCTTCCACTCCCAACTGCATCATGGATTAAATTGTATGGAAGCCATATCATGATGCCACACTGCAAACCAAGTGGAAACTAACTTTTTCTCATTGAATAATTTCTTGAAGCATTTTGAAAAGGGATTATACCTTCATCAAAGTTCAACTGTGAATTTGTACATTCAACACCTGAAATGGCAAAATCTGTCAGAAGTAATCACTTTTCATTTGAAGTAGTTCAAGGGGCTTCTTCAGTGGAACACACTGTATCATAAATACAATCCACAGATATTCACTCACTGTAAAAGATGAGGACCTCTTCATTAAAATCTCACGATCAAAACCATGGTGCCCATGGGTAAGCTTAGGGTCAGGAAACAGGAAATCTCTTGTATTTTCTTCATATGTAGCTAGAACATTTCCTACTAAAAAGAAAAATATGTACCTTAATTGGAAAATAGACAAAGTGACATAGTACAGACACCATGCACAAGACCATACTGAAACTCAGCAAGTTTTGTTCTCTACAAATTAACAGCAAGGCTCTAAAACTCATATCACACTGGGAAATAACCTTATCAAGTTAAATCAGCAGCAGTGTGCAGAATCTACTCTGAAAGTATGATTCATAATTACTGGAAAAAATTAAATAAGATTGTCTTAACTGTTCTGTAAGAGAAGTCTTCTATAGGCAATTCTTAAGTAGTTTTCCCCTTTTTTTCACTTCCATGCCACAGAAGAAATCAGTATTCTTTTTTTTATGGCAGCAAATCCCTTATCAAAAGCTGCATCATTCCATATTACAGAATAGTAGTAATAGCGGGCATAGTAATAAGAAAGAAATGCAAGCAACATCAAAATAATTATTCCAAGATTTTGTCACTATCCTGGTTTACTACTTCTCTTAAAAAACTATTTTCTTTAGGGGAAAACCTTGAACTTATAGTACAAAAAAAATTAAAAACTGTGCTATTGCAGTCATCTTATCAGCTTATGTTGGGCTGACCCCTGAAATTTAACTCCTTACGAAAGATCTTTTACCCTCCCACAACAAAAATCTGTGTTTAGTACATTTCTTCACGTAAAGAGCCTGGTGAGTCACCCAAGAGAAGAAACTGCTTCCTTGAAAGTACTAAGGACAGGAGACAGCGAGCGCTTTTAATACCAGTTTCCAAATGAGTCCTCTTTAAAACTTGACTTTATTTCCAATAAAATGCAGATTTACATTATTCATGGGAACACTTGAATTTCATTAAAATGGATTTTTATAATCACACAAACCAATAACAGAAGTATGACAAATCGCTATTTATTATCTTCATATATCCCAAGAGACCTGTAATACTTATAGTGAGGATAAGAGTTTTCCCAATGGTCACCATTAAAATGGAAGTAAAAAAAAGTGTCATTCTGAGAACAAGATTATGCACTCTGAAATTTCATAGACAGCCACTTTGCAAGTGAATTGTGATGCAGTTAATTAGTGTGCACTGGATGAGTTCAGTTTATTTTCCATTTTTAAAATATTATCACTTTCCTAAGCTTGAGTATGGTACATTTCAATATTCAGTTATTATTCTCTTTCAAGAATGAGATCCTCTTGATCTATTAACATTTTATATTCAGAGGACTATTTGTTGAAGAGCCTTCTATGTTGTTTGCATCTTGGAAGAAGTGATTGTGCTGTAATGGGGCAATGTCCTCATGGAAATTCACCTACTAAACTGCATAATTTATGAAGAGACTGATACAATACCTGGAGGAACAAGCTGTATTAGTTCAAGTAGTGTTGTGTCAACTAGAAAGGGAAAAAGTTTTTTCATGAGTTAAAAAATACAAAATGGAAAGTAATTCTCCCAGTCAAACCCCAAGAAAACTGGCTCACTGATTTAAGCTCCACAGCACTGTACATAGCTGAACTACCTCCACTACACCAACAATAAGAGGAAATTAAGAACAGTTTGCATAATACCACAGATGAACACAATGGCATTAGCAGTGTACAAATGACAACTCTAAATTTGACTTAGAACTTGGTAAGTCCTATCTGCTGCCAAGTTTGTCCTTCCTTTTGAAGATGAAGCAAACTTTGCTGCCTTTTCATAGAACTCCCAATATGAAGGAGCATATTTGTGGAGTCTGAGTTCAGTGTTGTCTCATTACAATTCATTACGCTCCACATGTGGCAAGAGATAATTTTCTCAGGAAGCAAAATGAGCAATTTTACAAAAAACAAAGGTTTATGCTTATTTGAAAATTAATAATAATAAAGATCAGATACAGGAATCTGTTATCTATCTGGATAACCCGCTGGATTTTCCATTAATTATGACTTTTTACCCTTTTCCTGTTCTAAAGCATGTAGCACACATTTCTTGAGGCATTTTGTTAGATAACAGTATTTTGGGTAAGTCACTAGTATTCAAAGACAGCAAAAAAACTCTACCTGCACTGGCCAGGAATCTTCTGTTCTGAAAACCCACTAATGTTACCATTCTACTTACTTAGTACATGATATATTACATTGGTAACCCACTAATGTTACCATTCTACTTACTTAGTACATGATATATTACATTGGTTACCCACTAGCTTTTCAGAGAACAGGCTCCTGACAGAAAAATTATCACATACTTTAATCCCCAAAAAAGTCTTTGGGGCCTATAAATGCATGACATTAATGCATACAACATAGTAAAGATAAAAAGCAGAACCTACGTTCCAGTAACTCCACAAGGTCTCCAGGATCAACTATATCAGCAAATGTCTGGAAAAGAAATTAAGTAATAATGCACCAAAGTAATCAGATAGACCTCTAGGGAAAAAGAAGTTAAAAAAAAAACCTCTAAAAGACAATATTCTCCCTTGCCAAGATGGTTGCCAAGAGTCCTATCCCCACTGGTAAAAGAAAGGAAACTGAAATTATCATTTGGCACATGATCAAATTCATTGAAAGCTAGCAGCTCTTGTCATATGCTTTCTAGCCATTCAGGGTTAGCTCTCCATATTTTAATTAGGAGGTATTGTGAAGAGCTGAACACATAGAGAGAAGTATTGTCTGAGAAAATTTTGAAAGAGAAATTGCTGAATGTACTAGAATTCTGATAGATGAAAAATATGTTCATTAATATATTTACACCTTGAGCTTTATTTCCATGGAAGTGACTATTCATGTACAGAGTACTGTTCAGTGCTTTTTAAGCTGAATCCCATGTGAAATAGGTGGCAAGGAATAAGAGAGGATGATGCACTGGATATTCAGTAGGTAACAGATTTTCCTCTAATTCAGTACAAAAGTCTCAGCAGAGTGGTGCAGATCACTTTCAAGGTACCAGCCACTAAAAAACACAAAGTACTGGTGCTGCACAAGTATCTAGACCTGAGCAATAGCTATTTGTCAGAAGGCAGATATTCTCAGCTTGCTTGTTCACCTCTTTTGTAAGCAGATGGATCCTGGTGTCCTCCCCTAAATTAAACTGAAAACAGTATTCAGTACATCTCCCTTAAGCAGTTTGTGGTATGTTTGCCTTTAAAGAACTATGGTCTTTTCTACACTTCAGTAGCTGGTGAAATTATCATTGTTTGTATCTTACCCACATCACCAGAGCACCACTGATGTTTACTCAGTCTGGTTTTCAAAGTGCTGGGGGATGCTTAAAGGAAAAGAACTAGAAAGGGCAAAGTATTATTATTCATAGGTGGTCCAGAAGCCAGATCATATCTGCAAGATACTGTGTTTCATTATCCCTGTGGTACTAATAATGAAGCTAGCAGGGACTCAGAATAAGTAATAAACAACTATAAATTAGAAGGCCAGAGTACCAACCTGGGAATTCTGGTGACAAACCATGAGAAAAGTATCTCAAAGGGAGAAAGATGTCACCAAAAAGGCCCGAGCTACTATTCTGTCTTTCTACTAAATTAAATTAACTTTCCTGTATTGTGTAGCCTTTGTTCTTCAACTTGCCATAATTTTTAAAACAACATTCAGTTCCTTCCAAGCCAGGAGAACAGGCACTGAGAAAGGACAGTTCACAGAAGAATGAACAAACATCTAAAAAGTCTCAACATACATTATAATCTCTAGCATGCAAAAATCTTGAGTAAAACATGTGGATAATATACACACACACCTCCTGTGTGCTGAAAAAAAGCAGGCATTATAATACTGTGTGTGACTCCTATCCTCAGTGTGACTGCTTGTGCCCAGCGGTTTTGCAGTGAGTTTCTGTGGAGTTTGGGATAGGTTTTACCTGGCTCGTACTAGCTATTGACACTATCTTACCTTCTCAAATACTAGTTTTTCTTGAAAGAAGAGTGGAAACGCTGCCGGGACACATTGAGTTTTTTTGTGCTGCCCAAATACAGAGACACTGAGATAAAGTTCCTCTTTGTCTTTCAGCAGTACTCCGGGACAAGTTATCTGTAAGAGTAACACATTCATTAAACAACCTGAACTTCAGAAGTAATGGCTGTTTCCAAGACAAAAATGAAATGGTCAAGTCCGAAATGGTTGATTTCCAAGAGTCAGATTATAACAGACTAGAGTGAAAAAAAATCCTTTCTGAAGCAATTCTGTTTTTACAGAAAAATGACTAGGAAAAACGATCACCATTTTAAAATAATCAGGACCAAATTCTTCTCATTGTAAGTAAACATACTCCAATCTTCAACCACAAGCGAAACCCGGCATCTCAATCTCAGGTTAATACGTTTAAGGCATAGACTAACTATACCAGAGTTAACCATCAAGGGTCACATGAGGTTCTATATGGAGTCATGTTGAATAAGGTCTATGTGAGGCCAAGACACAAAGAACCTTTCAAATTTTAGTCTAGCTACAGAGAGAATGACACTGGTAAATGTACATATTTAGACATTTGTACTCTGTCCAGTCACCAAAAAAGGCAAGTCTGTTTGCAAACATTTTATTAACTTTGTCTTCTAATGAGTAAATAAGAAAAACCAACTGTTCTGTTACTGTAGTGATAGGACAAGGGGTAATGGGTTAAAACTTAAATAGGGTAAGTTTAGATTGGATATAAGGAAGAAGTTCTTTACTGTGAGGGTGGTGAGGCACTGGAATTGGTTGCACAGGGAAGCTGCGAATGCTCCATCCCTGGCGGTGTTCAAGGCCAGGTTGGACAAAGCCTTGGGTGACAGAGTTTAGTGTGAGGTGTCCCTGCCCATGGCAGGGGTGTTGGAACTAGATGATCTTAAGGTCCTTTCCAACCCTAACTATTCCATGATTCTATCAGACACTTACTTAGCACACAAAGTTTCACCTGAGAAGTTTGGCCACCATGCAGGGTATTCAAGGCAGGGAAGGGTCCTCATTAGGCTCCCTGATACTGCCACTTAACTTTCCCTGGACAATTCTTATTCTTTAAGCAAGAAGAAGTTGGTGTGTTTTCAAAGCTCTGATGAACATTAGATCTTCTTTCTTGAGTTTTCACTGCAAGGATGTACAGAACTTACTGTAAAACTATCTACTGTTTTCTTCCCAGCCATGTGATTTTATTCTATTAGCCAGCCAGAGAACTGTCACCTTTCAGTTCAGTTCTACTATTCACTTTTTATCGCAATACAATAAATATGAGGTTATCTCTTCCAACATAAGGTTGCTGGTGAAAGTGCTCAGACTTTCAATTGCCAGGTAGAAAGACAAAGGAGGAGAGTGACAGGAATGAAAATAAATTCTTTGCTTACAGTTTCCTACTCCCAAATGAATGTTTTACTTGAGAAATCCTAACCAGATTTAAAAGAAAACTGTATAAATAGCAGAAGAACAGCCTCAGGTGAAAGAAATAAGAGAAATCAATGTGTGATGGATTATTATAGATACAGTGTAAGAAAAAAAAAAAAGTGCTTCTACTCATAAAAATCCGAGGAGGAAAAAAAAAAGGGTTTCCACTCTATGTAAATGAGGGCTTCGAATCTGCAAAAGAACTGCCAGAGTAATAGATATCCCAGTTGAAACAGACTGTCAAGCATGAAACAGCTTGTATGACACTCATGCAGTTGCAAGCGTGAATAGCAGAGAGTGAAAGAGACAGATTTCATTCATAGAAAGCAAGATCCTCCAAACTACATACTACATGTCATGTTAGCTTAGTTCTTGCTTTTCATCTTGACACTTCTGTAGAATTGACTATCATTTTTAGCTGGGGTTTCGTGCCTTTCACCTTAGAGAATGCAACCAATATCTGCCTATTTATTGAAATGAAAGGTTTGAAGACATCAGAGAGGACAAAACTGCAAATAACAGGTGCCATTTATTCTGGCTATCCTGCAAAAGAAGAATAATCCTTACAAATTGTCATATGGGGCAAGATAAAACATGTGGAAACTTGTGCTTTTACTACCTTTGAGATAAACTGCACAATTTGCTGCCTTGGCTGGAACAACAGATCTACATGTTCATGTGACTTTAAAACAGCTCCAAAAAACGAATGACACATGTATTCCTGCAGTTCATGAAATCTATTTTGTAATATGTGATGCATGGAGCTTCACAACACTTAGGAGATAAATTGAAGCTCTTATCTGAGTGCAAACTGTTCAGGCGGGGACCATTTTAAAAACTGCCATAGTATTATCTATGGATTAGCTAAGGAAGAGGGATATCAATGCTGCAATTAACTGATCTTACTACTAGCCAGGAGGTCTATGATGAATGCCTAGGACAGCATTACTCTGGACTTCCCTGCAGCAGTTTCCAGGAGGATGGAAAACGTGTACTAGCCTTATTGTTGGGACATCACAAATAGCCATAAAGAAATCACTGAATTCACAGAAAGCTCCACCTGAACAGGAGGAAGAAATTTACTGTGAGGGTGACTCAGCAATGGGAATATGTTGCCCAGAGAGGGTGAGGAGTCTCCTTCCCTAGAGATATTCAAGAGCCATCCAGAGACAATCCTGAGTAGTGTGCGCTAGGTGACCCTTCTAGCCTCAACCATTTTGTGATCTCATGGAAAGGAACAGAATTCTACTGATCCACAACTCCCTATGGCATCCATTTGTCACATGCAGTTCTAAAACTGTAGCTGCCTATGTAACCAATGACAAAGGCAGGCCTGGAAAAATACCTTTAATTGTCCATTACCATCAAAACAAAGAGCTCCCTGTGAAGGGCCATGGCCAGTATTAACTTCTGCTGAGTGCAAGCTTCCAGAAAGAATAGCATTTTGGACTTAGAGTTGCAAAAATAATCTTCTCCATGTGAAGATATTTTAGTCTCCTTACCTGACAGTAATCCACAATGCTATTAATTCACCTCAGTGCTTAAGCTTTACCTACCTTCCCTGCTGCATTTGTGAATTCTCCATGTAGCAATGACATGAAGAATAATGTGAATTTCATTCTGTTCCTACATGAGCAATCTAAATGCCAGCAGCAGAGGAGGGCACCAAAATTAGTCTCAAAAAAAACAAATAACAATGAAATCTCAGTCTGAGCAATCATGAATTATTCAACTTTAATTAATGCCAGGGTAAACCAAATAAGGCCTTTAACTGAAGTTTTCCATTTTAGAAGAGCAGCCTTTCAGAAATGAAGAAAACTAGCAGTAAGATAAACCAAACAGCTGCTGGACTCAAGTTGGAAAAGATCTTGGAATTTCAGTAAGTTAAAAGGAGCAAAATCCATCTGTATCCTAAAGCAAGGGAAAACCAAAGAGGACAGAACATCTGACACAAGTGGACAGGTTTCAAAGAGGGTTAAGAAATATGCAGAATGTTGTAAAAGAATAGGAAAGGTAATCATAAATTTGGACAAGACTTTAGTCACAAATAAAGTAAACAAGGAGAAAGCAATGGAAGTAGCATAAACAACCGAGATGTGAAAACTAACAAACCTATGTCCCAGAAACAACTGAATCATTTACCCTGGTTTTAATAATACTTAACACAGGAGCAAAAAACCAAACAACTTAAAGAATGAAATGGTGGCAACAGAAGTTACCCAATATGCCATAGGCCTGGACCAAGCAGCCACAAGGAGGCTGAATCATATTCAACCTAAGCTCTGAAAGCATGTAATTTTTCTGGTGGAGTCTATACAAAAATAAAGCCTATGTTATGAAAACAAGGATAGCACCATCTGTTGAAAAATAACAAACGCAAGGACCACGTGAGGCAGAAAAAGACATCTGAAAAAACCCAACCCCATCAACCAGAATACTTAAATATATAAAAGAATAAAGATGTGGCAGAAAACATGACTAGAAAAAAGCCCAGCAGTGCATTTCATAAAAATAGATCAATCAAGCAAAACCTGACAGCTTCTTGAAAAACCTGTTTTCTGGACAAAGGATATCATATGGTGCCACACAAGAAAATTTTACTTATGATGCAGAAGATGGGAGTTAGTATGAAAGTCCTAAGGTGCTACAGAACTGCCCAAAGGACAGCATCACAGAATCACAGAATGGTCTGGGTCGGAATGGACCTTAAAGATCATCTGGTTCCAACCCCCTGCCATGGGCAGGGACACCTTCCACATCAATTACGTGCAAATCTGGCAGGCATCAATCTGAGGGTTACTATTAAAAATGTTGCTCTGTATATGCTGGGATTCATGCCTTTCAATATTTTTAATGACCCTGACACAAAAAGTCAGAGTATTCTCATGACATTTTCCAATTAAAATTCAGAAATCACCAAAGGTCAACAAAATGTTACAGAAAAACCTGTTTTGTGGGACCACAGTGACAGGCATGAGATGTACTTACTGTGTATCAACAACAGGTTTTGTTTTCACTGTGGGGGAACTAACCTTCAAACGGGCTGAGGGAAAGATGTGTGTGTTAACAAAGAAATGACAGCATAACAGCAGCTCAGCTGTGAGGAGACTATCAGATTAAGACATACAGAATGAATGTTGGACTTTTTTCCCGGATATAACCTAAAGCAACAGTGAGACCCCATCTGGAATGCTGAATTCAATTCTGATCCTGATCAATGCAGTTTTAAAGAGGAAGAGTGGCACCCATCCCTAAGATGATCAGAAGACTGCTGAGTCAATCACATAAAACACTACCAAAAGAACCAGGTCTTTCTAGCTAACAAAGATTGCTTGTGAAATGACAGAACTGCTGTCCAAAAATATATCAAGAAAGTAAACACCAAGGAAGGAAGAAAATTATTTAAGTGAAAGATCAGTGTTGATATTTGCATAAGAGTAGGGTGTCAACTAACCAGAAGGAAATTCAGGCTTTCAAACCATCACAGGAGTGAAATGCCAAATTGGCTCTGTAGCTTTCCAGGAATCAAGTGGGCCTCTGCATTATGAACACTAACTGCTGGGACAGCAAAACAACACCATTAGAGTGATACCCTCACAGTCTATGTGTAGAAATTCACAGCGCTGTTTCAGAGCAGCCACACAAGTTTGGGAACAAAGGTGGCTCAGCAATCAGGGTCCATTTCCCAGTAGATACTTTCTGGACGTGCACTTAAATGTTTTGGATGGCACCTTGGGTTTTCCTTTCAGCAGCAAGTATTCTGGCAGCTCTTACCCTATGAGGAGGCCAAACCTCTGGGTTACAGCAACCAGGGTGTATGAAGCCAACAACTCCAGAGTGACAGTGCACTGATTACTCCAGTTGCTCCTTAAAAGTTATCAGGAAAATGATAGTTGTATTTATTCCTATGTTGTATATAAGCAAAAAACTTTGCAAAGTGCACAGGGAACGGTCCTAACGTGATTAATGGGAAAACTTTCCACTTTCACACCTACTGACCTCACAATCTCCTTCAGGCACTTCATAGCTGCCCAGTACCATATCCTGCACTCACAGGGACCTCACCACTCACAGAGATGCATATGCCATGTGTAAGATGCTGTTTCGTGGGATTTCTTTTACTTTGTTCGGTTCAGGAGTGCTCTTCCCACACCGTACAGCTCCCCAGGAATCAGTGTCTCTTAAAAAAGGCCTTTAACACGGGGAAGTGAGGACGGTGAAGGCGCACGGCTGGTGCTAACATCACCGGGGAGCCTGAGGACCGGCTGCCGGGGGATGCACACACAAAAGAGCACAAGTTGCCCAGCAGCCAGCCGGAGCTCAGCTACAAAGCCCAGACCGGTCTTCCAGCAGCACCACCGGGCAGGCGGAACAGGCGGCGGCAGAGAGAGGTGAAGCGGCGCTGGAAGCGGCACCGGAAGGACAAACCGCGGCTTCTCGTCCAGCCTGCGGGCCGCCGAACCCCGGCTGAGCACGGCGGGTCCCACGAACCGGGCACTCACCGAGCGGACGTCCAGCTGCAGGACGCAGAGCAGCGCCTTCCGCGGCATGGGCGGCGGGGCCCGCGGGGTCCCGGCCCGCTCCGGCTCGCCCGCGCCGCGGGGCCGACGCCGTCGTCACGGCAACCGCAGCACTTCCGGCGCCTACCCCACCCTCCGGCGCCGCTCCCGCCTTCCCACAATGCCCTGCGCGGCCGCGCCTGTCCTTCCCACAGTGCCCCGCGGTAATGGCCGCGGCCATGTTGCGATGTGTGTGGTGATTTTGGCCTTCCCACCCTCGCTCTGCTCGCCGCGGAGCTCTTTGCCTTTGTACGCACAGTATGCGCTGGTTCTTACAGAACAGCAGTTCTGGGACTTCCCTCAGGGCCGCTGGGGTGCTGCTGGGGTGTATGGGAAGCAGAGTAATTACCAACCCCTCAGCGTCGGGAGGGACAGTCACACTCATGGGTGCTGAGTCAGGGATGGATTGCTGGTGCAAAAGCTGAAGTGGGCAGCGAATCAGGCCACACCTGAGCAGTGGTATTGTGGGGCATGCAGAAGGAGCTTGTGATGTGTCTAATACTTCTAGTTTCTTGGTCCTACTGCGGAAAGGTGCCAAAGAGCCTTCCCTTCAAATGAAGGGAAAACCAAGTTCTACACAGTTCCTGGGCTGAACAGCCAAAAGCAGTGAATTTCAATGTATCTAGTCGTGTGGGGCGCAGAGTGAGCATGGTGTATTGTGACCAGTCCCATCTTCAGAGTCTCCTCTCCACACTCCGTATCTGACACTGTCTTTTCAGGCCTGCTTTTCTGTTATCATTACTAGATTCAAATTTATGCTGCTGATCTTGAGCACCATTGTGTTCGTACTAAGGCTATTCACCAAAGTCTTTGCTGCTACGTCGTTCTCAAGAGTATTTGCAGTGACGTGTAACACGTGTAACAGTCTGACTTTATGTTTTAGCAGCTTCTGTTCATCTCGGTCGCAGGCTGTGAGGGAGTTTAAGCCTTGAAATACTCTTCAAATTCACAAGTACAGCTGTATAGAAGGGAGGAAACTGAGCCACAAATTTTGATTGCCTCCAAAAGAGAGCAATGGCTCAAATGCATCCCATGGATTGCTTTATTTTAATGTTACCATGTCAAAGAAGAATCATGCTGTGTGATGTAGAAAGCTTCTGCTGCAATCTGGAAAGAAACAACATTCTCAAAATGGTTTAATTTTGATTATTTTTTTTGAAAGGAAACTAAGCAAAGAACATAATATGCCAGTGCAGACAAAAGTGAACTCTGTAGATGGATTAAATATCACTGCTAATACCTGATACCAGTCTTTTAACATAAATAAATGATTGGAAATGCAGGCTTTATTTTTATTAATGGGACTTCTTATTTTCCTATCTAAGCAAAGAACAGGATTCTGGAAAAGACCTGGAAAAGACTCACTTTTGAATCACAGACCTGTAATAGATATATTAGGGAGGGGTTGCCACTTGGACGTAATAATTTTCTATGTATTATCAGCCTCAAGGTTATGAATAGCATTCCAGAGTTAACAAGAAAAAAAAAAATCTCAAAGATCCATAGCCTCAGATGGGAACAGTATTAATATGGTTTAGTTCTTATTTTTGGTTACCTTTCACATACATGCTTTTTGAAGGGATAAGTAATGTGTTAAAGATTGTAAAGTATGAGGTATTATGGTAAGTGTGGCCATATAAGAACAGAAGATAGATAAATGCTGAAATCAAAAATGGCATCATGTTTGTGATGAAAATTTAATATCCATGTGCAGTGCCCTGTAACAGAGGTACTTTATAACCCTTGAAAAAGGAGCACAAGTTGGGACAGAAAGCTCCTCTGAAGTGATAAGGCAGCGATGAATTTCATTGCGTTTCCTTGGTAAGTCAGGGAAAATTTGAGGTAGACTGGAGAGCAATGCAGTCTGCAGAGACACTTCTCCATCCCTCTGTTTGCAGAGCTTCTGCCACTTCACCCCACTGGGTCTTGGAAAGAAAGGCTGCTGCTGCTGCAGTGCTTTTCCTGTCCAGCCCTTTCTGCAGCAGCAGGGGGAGATCCATCTGGACCTTCTCATTCTGTTGAAATGCACAATTTATTTTTACATTTGCACTGCAGGAATTTGGGGGACAACGAGGGAAACTCTGGCTTTCAGCATAAATCCGTTTGCTAATAGGCAAAACTGATAAGCAAATCCACAGAAAGTGCATGCTACTTTAATAGACCTGAGGTTTTAACTGCTGTAAAGTTCCCTGCTGTGAAAGCACATGAATTCCTTTGCTTTTAGAAAAGTAAATCTGCTTGTAACGCTACTTATGCTTAGTTCCATGTAATAAAAAAGCCTGGATGACAGCTTTGCATTATGCTAAGGTTTTTGCAATCTCCTCCGTTTGAAAGCTTCATCCTTTTCTGTCCTCCAGGCCCTCCAACATGCCTGCTATGGAAGAGCCCTGTTGTCATCAAGATAATTCAATTCTGCTCCTATTTCTATCATTACAGATGAAGAGTAACTGTCAAAAGAGTGAGGTTGCACTGATTTAATACAATTATCACAAGATTTGTACCTTATTGTTGCAGTGCTGATGACTGTCAGGCCTCAGGAGTTTCAATGTATGAAAATTTGCTTCAAAATAAGTAAAGTGGGGAAAACTGGGAAGAGTGAGGTTTGCAGTGGATATTCTGAAGTGCAGGATCTGTAAAATAATGTGAATTAGACTGAACTAGTTCACGTAAGATGGGAGGTTAGTGAGCAAATCGTAACATTTGTCAGGAGAGGTGCTTTTGACTAAGAAGCCAGGAATGATTTTCTCCTTAAACTTAGGAAGTGTTCTGCTGGGTGCAAAGTGGCATTGCAGAATCATTCTGGCAATAAGAGTAAAAGAAATAAGGGAGCTTTCCACAGTTTTCCACACCCTCCTGCAGTTCATATGGGTGTTGTCAGAGAGCCATTTCTGCCTACATCAAACCCCTAATGTTGACAGAGCTGCCAGAAGAGACCTCTGTCTTACTGCACATCCTTAATTTAGATATCATCACCAAGTATGATTGTCTTGTCATTAATAACTGGAGAATTCCAGGAAGACATCTGCTCAAATAACAGCAATGAATTATGAAATATGGAAAGATTTCCATATTAGAAAAGGCAAACAAACCATTAAGACTATTTTACTTCGGAGAGTGTAATGTAATACAAAAGAGGTACATAAGGGATTAAATAATATGTAGAAATGGGTTCTTCTATTTACCCATGCCTGTTTATCCTTTCAGAGGACACATGCAATGAAATTAAAAGACAACACAATCAAGACTGATAGAAGAAAGTACTTTAGGTAGTGGAACCCATTATAACAAGATACATTCAGCAGTGTTTAAAGCAGAATCAGAGCACTGTAGGGAATGCCACAGGAGAATACCCACATGCATTAATTATTTTGATCTCCCTCTCTGGCTGGGTTAAATGTGCAGTTTGCAAAAGTCAGTTCCTGTGCAGAGAACTGTAGTGGAGGAAAACAGGCAGCAGAAGTTAAGACTAAACAATCCCAGTTTGCTATAAAGTAGAGCTGGAAGAATTCTGTAATACGAGAGGTTCTAATAGGATCTAAGAGGACCAAAGTGATTTGCATTACTGCATACAGTTATGTAACGGGGAAGCTAGAGTGTTAGACTATTGGTAAGGACAGAGGATGGAGATTTCCTGCTGGTGTCAGCACACTCTTCACAAAATACGTTTTCATCTAATCTTTCTACTTTAAAGCAGGAAAAAGTTTCCCAGAAGTTACCATTCATTAATATCTATTGCTTTAGAAAAAACACACAATGATTTTGTGGATCCTATTTTATTGAGCATCTGGCTCTTAATGTGCAAGGACACAGCTGGGCAGAGCTCTAGGCTTCCTTGATGAACCTACAAGTTGCTACAGGCAAAAGGCCACCTGCTAAAAGCGTTATATAGGTGAAGCAGTGACCTTTCTTCCCTGGGCCCTCCCAGTCTCACTAGTGCCTATTGAAGGGCATTTTTCACTACACATCTGGAGAAACACTGTGCCTCTCTAACATTTCGGTTCTGGCTGAGCCATGAAAGAGAAATTCCTCTGCTAAGCCAATATGCTCTTTAGCGGATGTGACCATTAACTTCACTGATTCTTGATGTAGGTCATGCCTGCAATAACAAGAAGAAGAAAAAGGCAAGCTAAAGACACTGAAGTTTATTTAACATTTAAGCTGTTTTCCAATTCTGCTATATTCTTTCTTGGCTGGCCTCAGGTAAAAAAGAAATCAAATCTGATTTGATTACAGCCACTAGAGGAATATTCCAGACCTTGAATTCAGTTGTACTAATTGGAAACTTGCATTTTAAAGTTATGGCCTAAATTAATCTTTGAGATAACTTCTGTGAATACAGTCTTAAGAATTCACAAATGGTACAGGTACAGTCAGCCAAGACAGCTTTAGCTTTGTACCCCTAGATGGTTCCTGGGTTCTCCCTTATTCAGTTCAAAAGAGGTAACACTTTCCTTTGTGTTTTACATTGAAAAAATAAAAATGTCTTAGATAAAGACATTGCCCCAGTGAAGTTTTTGCTTGAAACAAAATTCTTCTAACCAAGTTATAAACCCCTGAAAATAGGGGTTTATAATGGGACTGCTGATAGACCCTTAACAATAGCGTTGTGAATGGCGCTGCTATAATTAATGGTACTTCAGAAAGATTTATGGTCCTTAGACAGAGATAAAACAGAAATATCTCTGCTTCTTTGCCTCCCATCATTTTATCCTCTATGAAATTTTATGTGAAATAAGTCAAATGAAAAATGTAAGCTCTTAATCTTTTCCCAGAGTCCTGTCTCTCACTTGATGAACACTTTTGCAGAATAAATTAGAGCTTTTATTCCTTACGCCTGTACAGCTTTGTATTTAAAAAGCAAAGAAAAGGACATTGTTGGGTTGGCAAAGCAACTCAAGATGATGGTCATGGAGGAAGCCGAAATCACCAACTACTCTAATCCATTCTTCTGCCATCCCAGAGACAACAACTCTGATCCTGCAGTAATTCAGAGCAGCTGGCTCGGAAGTGTACGAAAAGGCACCTGCATTCTGCATTGAAGACCCGTTTCATGCAAAAGGTTAGCTGTGATGGCTCCAGCTGCAGCAGCCATAATACAGTGGCCTT